TACCAACGATACGAGTCCGCACCAAACGCTGTCGTCTCCTGTTTGACCAGTACACAGTCACCACCACGCACACTGGCACACCGACGATGATGAGTATGAAGCAGATCGCAACCGACAGACCCACTGCTAGTCCAACATTGACATTGACATTGGCTGCAAAACAAAGGAATTAACAATTAACACAATATGATTGCTGTTCATAAAGCAAATCTAAAAGGCAATGTGTCAGTAATGGCTAAATTTAGAAATGTTACTAAAGATAGAACAAAACAATAGGGGCACAGGGAAAGAATGCAATTAATTTCCGCTTTTACTAACGTTTCTAAATTTAGCCCTTATACGTATACTGCCACATTCCCTTTAATGTGCAAAAGTAGTGCCAGTTGGACATGCAATTGTAATTCTTTTGTGCAGAATGCACGACGAGACTTTAGTCCAGGATGCATACACCCTGCAATGGTTGGGTGCTGTGTGGCCTTCTCAAAACTAAAGCAAGGACGACGTAGCTCTTATGGGGACCCAGCTACACTTGTATAATGGCAGGGTTTGCCCCCTTTGCTCCGCCAGCCCAGCAAAGGATGAAAGACTGCTATGAATACCACACATGTCATTATCACATGTGGGTACATACATACTATTGATATCCACATGCAAGTTGACACGGGCAAGGCCACACCATTCACTGAGTAGGCAGAGTAATAAATGCACAGAATGTTACTAAGACATACCACACCCCTCTTCGTCGCTGTTGTCTCCACAATTAGCTAATGCAGAGTTCAACAGCACCATGCTGTTGAACTCTGCATTAGCTAATTGTTCCCAATCCCTCGGTTGCTATACATACCACAGTTCTCTTCGTCACTGCCGTCTCTGCAGTCATTAATGCCATCACACTCATAGCTCCCAGGAACGCATTGTCTATTATCACAGGTAAACTGAGAGGACCTACAATAAGCTACAAATGGAATATAAATTAATTAAGATGTTAACATAGCAAGCATACAGTTAGAGTCTCGTATGCGATAAAGCTAATAAGTTACAAGAGTAATTAAAATCAACATGTTGCACGCAATTTAATGAAATGTTGTTGATTATCTGTGCACATACCACAGTTCTCTTCGTCACTGCCGTCTCTACAGTCATCAATGCCATCACACTCAGAGCTCACAGGAACACATTGTTCATTGTCACAGAAAAAGGGAAGGAACCCATCACAAACTACACAAATGGAAGATTAGATATTTAACATAGCAAGCAAAGGTCGGATATGTGTTGGATCATCTGTGCCCCAAAGGTAAAAATTCGGGTGCTTATGTATATAATCATGCTTAAGTCGACAGTATTTGCTATTATCTCAGCAGCTCGCTTGGTATGCATGAAGTTATATATTCATAAGCTATAGGTAATGGGGATATGGGTGTGACTCTGTTTAGCACGGGCCATGAATACCGGACTTTGTACAATTAGACAGCCTGCGTGTACTCATTAGTTCAGCTACATACGTGCATAGACGTCATAAATGATAGCACTTGAGGTAGAGGAGTAACTGCAGCCAATACTGTTGGAATTAGAAGCTCCACTGAGACGGTGCTCCTCGTAAAGGTCTCTGGAGTAAGCCCAGCCAATGGTAGCTCCACCCCACTCCATCCCTCCACACTGGTAGATGAACACGACATAGGAGGAGTAAATGGTGTTGGTGATCAGAACTGCTTGGAAGGTGCTGGTTTCAAACTGCGGGAAAATGTTAATATTAAAAACTGAAGACCTGTATTAGTGATGTACATGTAATTAACCCTCGGTGCTCATGCACAGCGAGGGTTACAGTAGTTGGTTGTCTGTCTGTGTGTGAGTCGACACTTATTCTGGCACCACAGACTACGAGGTGGCCTATTAGCCATACCAGCAGCTTCAGAATGAGGCTGAAAAATTTTCCTGAAACAACTGCGTTTGAGAGCGATAAATTGGACGGTCGCAGACCGAGTTGCGTGGCCCAACCCATCAATTAGCTGTGCACATGCGTATAGACGCGGTATATTATGCTGGCTCCACCTCGACCTGATCCGCTCGCTCTGTGTACCTTGGGGGGCACAAGAAGTCACAACGAAGGGCGTGTATCGACTCCAGAATGCTATCTACTACTGTAGCCAGCCCGTGCCAGACTCTCCGCGAGCTACTAGCGGGAGAAACGCATACTGATAACCCAGACCATCAATTAGAGATATTGCACATGCGCTGTTCGCCGAGGGTTTGCAATTTAGTGCTTTTCATTACCCTCGGCGCGTATGCGCAGCGAGGGTTACTGTAGTTGGTGTGTGTCTGTTACTCTCAATCTCACCTCCCGAATGTCTGTTCGTCCCAGAAACGATACCATCTACCCAACGGGCGACAAAGGTCAGAAAATATGTGGGGGTTTCTCTGAAAATGCTCCGTTGCAGAGCTAGAGCGCTTCCACCATTGTATGGCTGCCGGTAGTCGCCATTTTATCGCTGGCGGATAATGCGCATGCGCTTATATTTAGCACAGGCTTACCTCGACCGGGTCCGCTTGCTCTGTCTATCTTGAAGGCACAAGAAGTCACAACGAATGGCGTGTATCGACTCTCGCGTGCTATCTACTACTGTAGCTAGCCCGTGTCAGACTCTCTGCGAGCTACTTCGCCGAGGGTTTGCACTTTCATTCCATCATTTTTAATCAGAGCTTTCTCTTCGTTATCTGAGACATGCCCGAGGTCGGGTTGCCTGGGTTAAACTGGTTATTTTTTGGAAAAAATCTTATTCATACGACCTTTCATAGGAAATGATATTGAGCATGGGGTGCAATTCGTCCTAAGGGACTTCCAAAAATGGGAGCGTGGTAATTGACTTAAGGAGGAGAAGGTACGTAAATTGCAACAGATTGCTCCTGGTATTTAATTAACTCACAGAGCTTCCACTGTACTTGGCCACTCCATTCCATTCCACCACTAACATATTGCTTCCGGCGAAATAGTCATCTCCGGTGTTAGAGCGAATGAATTCACTGACAGAGGACATCTGAGGATGGTCACCCCGGAATCCGTTGGTGTATCTCACCGTCCCAGCTATCGTCGTGTCAATATCGGCTCCATACGGAGAAATTACGGAGTTCGAACCAGGTATACTTGGCAAGGTGCCATCATCATTCATCGCCAACGAAATGAATCCATTCGTATTAACCTACGTGCAATCATATAATATACAAGAAGCTCACGAGGCAAATAAAGTGGCTAACACACTGTTTATGCCACTATGAAACACTTGAGCATGTTGGACAGTAGACTATCAATGAGACTAGGCAAAGACTATGCTGAACTGTAGGGGCTTTGCTTATAATGTATCTGCATTTTGCAATAGTTACACACGTACGTAGATGCTGTTGTAGGTGCTAGTTCCAAATAGAAAGCGGCTACTGGGATGTATGTCACCACTGGTGATATCATCCCCCCTTGGTAGAGCGGTATACGGGAAGTCAGTCACATTCAGCATAGCAAGGGTCCCTGGATGGGTAAGCAAACTTAGTATATTACTTAACTCATGAATACTCCCTGTGTAGACTAGAACCATATGTGTACTTTACATACCTGTCAACAGAGCTCACATGACTGGCTAAGGTAATGCACATTCCTTCATTCCCTGTGAATTACACAATGACATACTACCAAGTACTGGAGTTATGGTTTTCCTCCAAAACGTGTTTTTCTATTATAACTGTACTATAGATAGGTATACATTAATTACCAAGGGTCATTCATTTATAGTGCAAGGAAAAGCTGGGATAATAGAGACCCAAACTGCACAGCACTTGACAAGAAAAACCGCCTGTGTAACCGCATGTAGCTCTATTAGCTATATAGAAAGGCTAAACCACTTTGGGAGGGAAAGCATCGGCATGTCTCATGCACTGCAAGCACGCGCGATAGCGAGAAGAGTACGGACATGGCAAGAGATTGAGAAGAATGCTCTTTTGAAAATCAAACATTACTGATGCATTCCTTCATCGATTACGGTCCCATAACCAAAGTCGAACATAGACTATAGACGACGTAGCTAGTCATCAACGGTCGAACGTAAGACTCACCAGAGCCTTGAAAGGCAGTGGACACCTGGAGATGACAGAGGAGAAGGCCGATCAGCACCAGCATGCTCACGTCTTCATTGTAGGTATATGAAGGACTCAGTGCCTCCAAGTATACGGATTTTTCCATATTTTACGGAAATCGCACTCAATATACGGGTAAAATCGAAAAAAATACGGAAGACAAGAGTGCTCAAGAAGGCGTGGCAAGTATTACGACAAACGGGCAAGTATATACGGGTAAAGGCACGCAAAATACGGCCGCTGGATACGGATGACGTTAGAGTTAACTTGGAGGCCGGCTATAAGGTCCGGGGGGCCGGGGCGCGCAGATCAGAGGGGGGAGCGTTTACTGGTGTTCCCAGTGCGCATGCGCACGCGGTAGTCTCATTGTAATTTGCAATACTTTTGCTTTACATCTGAGAGTCCCGAGGAGAGTTCTGTGGCAGTGGAGCCGCAGTTGGTGGGGGCGGATGGCCAGTCACCGGCGGGAGAGACTGCAAAATACAATATTCTAGCTATCTGAGCATGAGTGATCTAGCTACATTTAGATAGAGCATCTGAATTAGTCTGACAGTAAACATGATAACATTGAATCTTATTAAAAAAGGATGCACATAGATTCTATAATCACATGCAGCGACTGTGATGCCGACAATCCATACACTATAATAATACACCATTGCAAGTTACCATTTTGAGTTAAGATTCGCCCAAATTGCGTGGGCGTCGATATTTTAGTTATTTTTTTCAATAGCATGGCTAAAACGCTCGTGAATTATAGTGAATTTTGGTACCTGTCTCGGATTTTTCACTCCTTGTTTTACAAGCTCATTAGCATATTCATATTCCTCCTCCATACATTCTCTATCGGAGAGAAAACTAGTGCGCGACTTCACCGGGAGCGAACCGTCCGTCTCTACTATGCGCAGCGGTTTTCTCCGCTTCCTACGGTACGCGGAAGCGTTTTAGAGCTATTAAGGAAAAATGGGCGTAGCCCCTGCGTGGCAAAGTTCAACGAATACGTAATACTCAAAACGTGGCCGCACCCATTTTTGAAACTGCCTTTAATAGTGCTTTTCATTATAGAAGGCAAGTATATTCAGAAGAAAACTTCACACTTTATGGGCTTTGTAGGGATTATAACAGAATAAATGCATGCTGTATTTAGTGATAAATTGAGTAATGTCTCATGTTTGTGGAATAGTAGGATCCTGGGGCGGGGGAGGGTTGCCCTGGATTGGATACGGGACATCAACAGGATATCCCGGCTGAGGCTGAGGAGGGTAGGGTTGAGGAGGATAGGCAGCCACTGGATTAGGCTGGAACTGGGGATACCCCTGCAATCAAAATTGCACTCGGTTGACCGCAGATTGTGTTAAGAAAAGCGAAGAAAATGTCCTATCACAATACTTTTCTCAGAATGTGGCAGTGCATTAGGACTATTGAAAGAAGGTGTTTCCCTTCATAGTAACACTTTCTAAATAATTATCTTATACCGCCGCATTCCCTAACTGTAGATTAAGGTCACCTGTGGTGGATATGTGCTAGCAGTCTCATACGAAGGAGGGGCCTCTCCATCCTTCATTTGAGGCTGAGTGGAGTAAGCTGGCTGGCTGGGGTAAGGAGCTGGGGGAGGTTGAGTGGGGTAATATGGCTGCTGTGCGGGGTAAGCCGTCGGAGTAGCCGAGAACGACGTGTTTCCGGTCGAGGAGACCACGGTCGTGGCTCCACCTCCTATTGGTGTGGTACCAACGATACGAGTCCGCACCAAACGCTGCCGTCTCCTGTTTGAGCAGTACACAGTCACCACCACGCACACTGGCACACCGACAATGATGAGTATGAAGCAGATCGCAACCGACAGACCCACTGCTAGTCCAACATTGACTGCAAAACAAAGGAATTAACACTTAACACAATAATTATGATTGCTGTTCATAAAGCAAATCTAAAAGGGAATGTGTCAGTAATGGCTAAATTTAGAAATGTTACTAAAGATAGAACAAAACCATAGGGGGCACAGTGAAAGAATGCAATTAAGTTCCGCTTTTAAATTTAGCCCTTATACGTGACACTGCTACATTCCCTTTAATGTGCAAAAGTAGTGCCAGTTGGACACCCAATTGTAATTCTTTTGTGCAGAATGCACAGACGAGATGACTTTAGTCCAGGATGCATACACCCTGCAATGGTTGGGTGCTGTGTGACCTTCTCAAAACTAAAGCAAGGACGACGCAGCTCTTATGGGGACCCAGCTACACTTGTATAATGGCAGGGTTTGCCCCCTTTGCTCCGCCACCCCAGCAAAGAATGTTGCAGAAAGGCTGCTATGAATACCACACATGTCATTATCACATGTGGGTACATACATACTATTGATATCCACATGCAAGTTTACATGGGCAAGGCCACACCATTCACTGAGTAGGCAGAGTAATAAATGCACAGAATGTTACTAAGACATACCACATCCCTCTTCATCACTGTTGTCTCCACAATTGTCATCGTCGTCACACCTGTAGCTGTCAGATACGCAATCTCCGTTGTCACATTCAAATTCATAGCTGCTGTAGCAGTAGGTTGGATATGTCGTTGAATCATCTGTGCAAGAAGAGAAAAAGTTGGGTGCATATGTACTATATCTACGATTCAAGCAAGTCGATAGTTTTTGCCAGGGATGTCAAACTGGCGCTATGGTGCTAAAAATAGCGCCACATACACCTGAGCAGTGCCAAGCATAATTTCGGCGCTTAGCGTTACACACAGCGCAAAAGCGAGCGCACCACGCATATATAATATAGCGCCATTGCAAGCGCAACTTGAGAGCTACTATTACAGTGTTGTATACTGCACTGATCATTGTACAATATACTTCTTGGAATGCGTGGTTGGCGCCGAAAGAGCCTCTAGCGCCGAAATCCTGGTGCCAAGCCATTCTCTCTTGACACCCCTGATTTGCTATTATCCCAGCAGCTTGGTAAGCAGAAGTTACGTATATTATATTCATAAGTATAGGTAATGGGGATTTGAGTGTGAAGCTGTGTTTAGTACAGGGGATGAATGCCAGTCTTTGTACAATTAGGCAGCCTGTGTACACATTAGTTTAGCTATAATTAACCCTCGGCGCGCATGCGCGCCGAGGGTAATGAAAAGCACTGAAGTGCAAACCCTCGGGGCATTGTGACGCGCACGCGTGAGTAAACGCATCCGCTGTATCACTAATGCATTGGCTGGGTTTAGTTATAGCTGTTACTCGTGGTCTCTTGCCAGCTCGCGCAGAGTCTACGCGGGCTAACTACACTACTAGATAGCATGCGAGAGGCGATACACGCCCTGCGTTGCATCTTCTGGTCGAGGTATATATGCAGAGCACCCGGATCGATCAGACCGCGGTAAGCCTTCCCGTCCGTGGCATAATATTGGCTTTTTCGCGCTCTAGCTTTGCAACGGAGCATTTTCAGAGAAAACCCCACAAAATTCTGACCTTCATCGCCCGTTGGGTAGATGGTATCCTTTGTGAGACGAAAGAACACTCGAGAAGTGAGATGAAGAGTAACAGACACACAGACAGACAGACCACTAAAGTGCAAACCCTCGGCGAACTGGGCATGCGCGGTACCGCTAATTGATGGGCTGGGCTGCTATTAGTATGTAGTATACTCGTGGTCTCCCGCTGACACGGGCTAGCTACAGTAGTAGATAGCATGTGGGAGTTGCATCACTTTTATCCTCTCTACATTATGTCGCACGTAAGAACTGTCTGACGTTTCAGAATGTCATGTGACGCCACATTGTGTGTTGTGTCACAAGCTAATGTGACCATGAATTGTGAACAAGGAACCCTAATTACCCTAATTATCTGGGTCCAGTTTTTTGTGTATTGCGTAACTTCAAATATCAAAGTAAAGGTGAGAGTGTTGGCAGAACCTACGCATACTTCTACTCATAAACAGTGGGCATTGGAAAATTAGCAAACACTACGATTCCACAGTAACAAAACAGTATAATTTGTCGCTAATGGGATACACGCCCTTCGTTGTGACTTCTCATGCATTCAAGATACACAGAGCAAGCGGACCCACATAAGCGCATGCGCATTTTCCTCAGCGATAAAAATGGCCGACTAGCAATGGCGGAAGCGCTCTAGCTCTGCAACGGAGCATTTTCAGAGAAAACTGTTCGAAATTTCTGACCTTCATTGCCCGTTAGGTAGGTCGTATCCTTTGTGAGACGAACAGACACTCGAGAAGTGAGATTGAGAGTAACAGACAGACAGACAGACAAACCCAACTACAGTACCCTCGCTGCGCATGCGCGCCGAGGGTAACTACTGTAACCCTCGCTGCGCATGCGCGCCGAGGGTTAATTATAGCTAAACTAATGTGTACACAGGCTGCCTAATTGTACAAAGACTGGCATTCATCCCCTGTACTAAACACAGCTTCACACTCAAATCCCCATTACCTATACTTATGAATATAATATACGTAACTTCTGCTTACCAAGCTGCTGGGATAATAGCAAATCAGGGGTGTCAAGAGAGAATGGCTTGGCACCAGGATTTCGGCACGAGTAACAGCTATAACTAAACCCAGCCAATGCATTAGTGATACAGCGGGTGCGTTTACTCACGCGTGCGCGTCACAATGCCCCGAGGGTTTGCACTTCAGTGCTTTTCATTACCCTCGGCGCGCATGCGCAGCGAGGGTACTGTAGTTGGGTTTGTCTGTCTGTCTGTCTGTTACTCTCAATCTCACTTCTCGAATGTCTGTTCGTCTCACAAACGATACAACCTACTTAACCGGCAATGAAGGTCAGAAATTTCGAACGGTTTTCTCAGAAAATGCTCCGTTGCTAAGCTAGAGCGCTTCCAGCATTGTATGGCAAATGCCTGTAGTCGCCATTTTATCGCTGGCGGCCTAATGCGCATGCGCTTATATTTAGCACAGGACCGGGTCCGCTTGCTTTGTCTATCTTGAAGGCACAAGAAGTCACAACGAGTGTCGTGTATCGACTATCGCGTGCTATCTACAACTGTAGCTAGCCCGCGTCAGACTCTCTGCGAGCTACTTCGCCGAGGGTTTGCACTTTAGTGCTTTTCATTGGGTTTGTCTGTCTGTCTGTCTGTCTGTCTGTCTGTCTGTCTGTCTGTTACTCTTCATCTCACTTCGCGAATGTTCTTTCGTCTCACAAAGGATACCACCTACTGAACGGGCAATGAAGGTCAGAAATTTCGAACGGTTTTCTCTGAAAACTCTCCGTTGCAAAGCTAGAGCGGGAAAAAGCCAACATGCAAATACACAACGGCTTACTACGGCATGATCAATCCGCGTGCTCTGCGTACCTCGGAGGCACCAGAAGATGCAATGCAGGGCGTGTATAGCCTCTCGCGTGCTATCTAGTAGTGTAGTTTGCCCGCGTCGGACTCTGCGCAAGCTGGCAAGAGACCACAAGTAACAGCTAAAACTAAACCCAGCCCATCAATTAGTGGTAAGGCGCATGCGTTTACTTACGCGCGCGCGTCACAGTGCGCCGAGGGTTTGCACTTCAGTGCTTTTCATTATACATGTAGTTCCTTACCACTATAGACGTCATAAATGATAGCACTTGAGGTAGAAGAGTAACTGCAGCCAATATCATTGGAAGAAGCTCCACTAAGACGGTGCTCCTCGTAAAGGTTTTCGGAGTAACTCCAGCCAATGGTAGCTCCACCCCACTCCATCCCTCCACACTGGTAGATGAACACGGCATAGGAGTCATAGCCGTCGGTGATGAGAACTGCTTGGAAGGTGCTGGTGGCAAACTGTGGGAAAATGTTAATATTAAAAACTGAAGACATGTGATGCAATTGCATCATTTTTAATCTGAGCTTTCTCATATATAAAAGCCACACAATTCAACTTCGTTATGTGAGACAAAGTTGCATGCCGAGGCCCTAAGGGGTTGCCTGGGTTAAACTTGTTATTATTTTTCTTATTCATACTACCTTTCATAGGAAATGATATTGAGCATGGGGGCATTTCGTCCTAAGGGACTTCCAAAAATCATAAGGGGGGAGTGGTCATTGACTTAAGGTGGAGTCAGGTACGTAAATTGCAACAGATTGCTCCTGGTATTTAATTAACTCACAGAGCTTCCACCGAGCTTGGCCACTCCATCCCATTCCACCACCATCATTCTGGTTCCGGTGAAATAGTAGTCTTGGGTGTTAGAGCGAATAAATTTACTGACAGAGTACATCTGAGGATGGCTAGTCGTGAATCCGTTGGTGTATCTCACCGTCCCAGCTATCCTCGTGTTAATATCGGCTCCGTACGGAGAGATTACGGAGTTCGAACCAGGTATACTTGGCGAGGTGCCATCATCATTCGTCCCCAACGAAATGAATCCATTCGTATTAACCTACGTGCAATCATAGTACACAGGAAGCTCAAGAGGCAAATAAAGTGGCTAACACACTGTTTATGGCACTATGAAACACTATAGAGCATGTTGGACAGTAGACTATCAATGAGACTAGGCAAAGACTATGCTGAACTGTAGGGGCTTTGTGCACTTATAATGTATCTGCATTTTGAAATATTTACACACGTACGTAGATGTAGTAGTAGACGGTATTTCCAAATCTAAAGCTACTAATATATATTTCTCCACTGGTGACATCATCCTGCCTTGGTAGAGTAGAATACGAGACGTCAGTCACATCCAGCATAGCAAAGGTCCCTGGATCAGTAAGCAAACTTAGTATACACAATACTACTTTAACTCATGAATACTCCCTGTGTGTTATATGTAGACTAGAACCATATTATCAGGAAACTGGTCCTGTGCACCTCACATGACTGGCTAAGGTATGCACATTCCTTCATTCTCAGTCCATTACTCCGTGACATACTACCAAGTACTGGAGTTATGGTTTTCCTCCCAAACGTGTTTCTATTATAGCTGTACTATAGATAGGTATACATTAGGAAGCTATGGGATAATAGAGACCCAAACTCATACGATGTGCACAGCACTTGTCAAGAAACCGCCTTCGTTAATTACATAGCTAGAGAGGCTAAACCACTTTGGGAGGGAAAGCATCGTGCACTGCAAGCACGCGTGATAGCGAGAAGAGCACGGACATGGCAAGAGATTGAGAAGAACGCTCTTTTGAATTACGATGTAGTCATCGATTACGGTCCATAACCAAAGTCGAACATTGACCATAGACGACGCTAGTCATCAACGGTCGAACGCAAGACTCACCATAGCCTTCAAGGGCAGTGGACACCTGGAGATTACAGAGGAGAAGGCCGATCAGCACCAGCATGCTCGCCGCTACCCAAGTCTTCATTGTATATATATACTACGTAGCAGCTGGGAAGGTCCGGGGGCGCAGCGCAGAGAGGGGATGAGAGTGTTATTACTGGTGTTCCAAGTGCGCATGCGTACGCGGTAGCATGCAAAATAATACTCATACGCATTGTCAATTGCAATACTCTTGCTTTACATCTGAGAGTCCCGAGGAGAGTCCTGTGGGAGTAGAGCCGCAGTCGGTGGGGGCGGATGGCCAGTCACCGGCGGCAGAGACTGCAACATACAAGATTCTAGCTATCTGAGTATGAGTGATAGCTAGCTACATTTAGATAGAGCATAATAAAGGTGCTGAATTAGTCTGACAGTAAACATAATAATATTGAAAAAGGATGCACATAGATTCTATAATCACATGCAGCGACTGTGATGCCGACAATCCATGCACTATTAGAGAGTCGGTAGACTCTCTATATAGGGATGACGACATGACACGGGTGAAATCTCACGTGATCCGCGTACAAAACGACTAAAAACTCGGTGAGAATCACTCCCTAGGCCTTCAAAACATACTAGCAATAGTCTACGGGCCCATATCTACCTATACATGTTCCCCAAGACCTCATACGCACCTTCAGTCGTCCACACGAGAATTCGCTCATACGCGATTTCACGATTTTCGTGTCATCATATTCTTCATCTTCTTCTTCTTCTTCTTTAAACCCGCTATCTCCTTACCAGTACCAGTTCAAGCACTGATTTTTTCACTGAAGGTCTCCAATTTCGCCGGAGATGTGCACGGACAACAAGCGATCTTTTCTTTCTTGCCGCTAGTCACTACGGTAGATCATGGAGCTCTTCCATGGTCGACACTGAACAACGCCATTTGCTGCTAACTCAGCATCAGTGAGCCGCGCGCATGCGCCAGGCAGGGGCGTTGTCCAATGCGCTTGCGGGCGTATTACCACTTACCGGGCGAGTTGGCTGACCTGCAGAGGAACTTGCTGTCGATTTGCACGAAGAGCAACTTGCCAGAGTCTGCGGGGTGTTACGTGAGCCTTCCAGGGCGCTCAGTGAAATGGGCCTTCATTGTTGTAGCCTGATTACCAAAGCCTTCCCATGAAACCACAACTATGTGCAATAATCTAATTACATGCTCTTTGAAGACAATACATGAGGTGAATGCGGTATCTATAGCCCCTGCTTCAGGCACTAGCAGCCCCATTAGCTACAGTTACAATTTGTCTATTGTATATAGCCTATCTACAACATACTCATGAACATCAGAGGGACTGTAGCAGTGTTGTCATAAGCTGTTAAAAATAGTGGAAACAAGTGGAAAAATCATTTCTTCAAAATGAAAGGGGGATATAGGGATGGCTTGAAGCACCAAAAAGGAAGAAACAAGGGGTCATTACACAGCAAAGTTGCACAAAGCTACATGACACCATCCCTATATCTTTGTTACATTGTTTATAAGCAAAGTTTAATATCGAACAAGATATAGGGATGGTGTCATGTAGCTTTGTGCAACTTTGCTGTGTAATGACCCCTTGTTTCTTCCTTTTTGGTGCTTCAAGCCATCCCTATATCCCCCTTTCATTTTGAAGAAATGATTTTTCCACTTGTAATAATATACCATTGCAAGTTACCATTTTGGGTGAAGTCGAGAACGCTAAAACCAGAAAAGCTGCAAAGGTTTTTCACAGTGCTATATATAATAGAAGGCAAGGATATTCAGAAGAAAACATCACTTTATGGGCTTTGTACGGATAATAACAGAACAAAATGCATCATGTGATAAACTATTGGAGACATGACAAAGTCAACTACGAGTGTAACAAAAGTCTTGAAGAGTTGCTAACTGTATTTGCAGCAGCACCATTGACTCATGTTTGTGGAAGAGTAGGATCATGGGGCGGGGGAGGGTTGCCCTGGATCGGATACGGGACATCAACAGGATACTCCGGCTGGGGCTGAGGAGGGTAGGGTTGAGGAGGATAGGCAGCCACTGGATTAGGCTGGAACTGGGGATACCCCTGCAATCAAAATTGTATAGACATTGGAACACAAATTGTGTGTTAAGAAATACTTTTCTCATAATGTGGCAGTGCATTAGGACTATAGAGCCCAGTGAAAGAATAATTAGTTTCCCTTCATATATAGTAACACTTTCTAAATATAGTCATAGTAATTATACCACCACATTCCCTAACTGTAGATTAAGGTCACCTGTGGTGGATATGCGCTAGCAGTCTCATACGAAGGAGGGGCCTCTCCATACTTCTTTTGAGGCTGAGTGGAGTAAGCTGGCTGGCTGGGGTAAGGAGCTGGGGGAGGTTGAGCGGGGTAATATGGCTGCTGTGCGGGGTAAGCCGTCGGAGTAGCCGAGAACGACGTGTTTCCGGTCGAGGAGACCACGGTCGTGGCTCCACCGCCTATTGGTGTGGTACCAACGATACGAGTCCGCACCAAACGCTGCCGTCTCCTGTTTGACCAGTACACAGTCACCACCACGCACACTGGCACACCGACAATGATGAGTATGAAGCAGATCGCAACCGACAGACCCACTGCTAGTCCAACATTGACTGCAAAACAAAGGCACTTAACACAATATCATTGCTGCAAATCTAAATGGAATGTCAGTAAGGGCTAAATTTAGAAATGTTTCTAAAGATAGAACAAATCAATAGGGGCACAGGGAAAGAATGCAATTAATTTCCGCTTTTACTAACGTTTCTAAATTTAGCCTTTATACTGCCACATTCCCTCAAATGTGCAAAAGTAGTGCACCCAATTGTAATTCTTTTGTGCAGAATGCACAGACGAGATGACTTTAGTCCAGGATGCATACATACACCCTGCAATGGTTGGGTGCTGCGTGGCCTTCTCAAAACTAAAGCAAGGACGAGCAGCTCTTATGGGGACCAAGCTACACTTGTATAATGGCAGGGTTTGCCCCCTTTGCTCTACCACCCCAGCAAAAGAATGTTGCAGAAAGGCTGCTATGAATACCACACATGCGTGGTCTTGCAGTTTCACATGTGGGTACATACATACTATTGATGTCCACATGCAAGTTGACATGGGCAAGGCCACACCATTCACTGAGTAGGCAGAGTAATAAATGTTGCTAAGACGTACCACATCCCTCTTCGTCGCTGTTGTCTCCACAATCGTCATAGTCGTCACACCTGTAGCTGTCAGATACGCACTGTCCGTTGTCACACTCAAAGATGTAGCTGTAGCTGCATGTCGTTGTACCATCTGTGCCCGAAGGTAAAAATTGGGTGCATATGTATAATAATCGTGCTTAAGTCGATAGTATTTGCTATTATCTCAGCAGCTCGCTTGGTATGCATGAAGTTACGTATATATTCATAAGCTATAGGTAATGGGGATTTGGGTGTGACTCTGTTTAGCACAGGGGCATGAATGCCAGACTTTGTACAATTAGGCAGCTTTTGTGTACACATTAGTTTAGCTGCATACATGTAGTTCTCTTACCACTATAGACGTCATAAATGATAGCACTTGAGGTAGAGGAGTAAGTGCAGCCAATATCGTAGGAATAATAAGCTTCACTGAGATAGTGCTCCTCGTAAAGGTTTCTGGAGTAACTCCAGCCAATGGTAGCTCCACCCCACTCCATCCCTCCACACTGGTAGATGAACACGGCATAAGAGTCATAGTCGTCAGTGATCAGAACTGCTTGGAAGGTACTGGTGTCAAACTGCGGGAAAATGTTAATATTCAAAACTGAAGACCTGTATTAGTGATGCAATTGCATCATTTTTAATCAGAGCTTTCTCATAGAATATCATAAAAGCCACACAATTCAACTTTGTTATTTGAGACATGCCGAGGCCTTGCCTGGGTTAAACTGGTTATTTTTTTTGGAAAAAATCTTATTCATACTACCTTTCATAGGAAATGATATTGAGCATGGGGTGACATTTCGTCCTAAGGGACTTCCAAAATCATAAGGGGGGAGTTGTCATTGACTTAAGGTGGAGTCAGGTACGTAAATTGCAACAGATTGCTCCTGGTATTTAATTAACTCACAGAGCTTTCACCGATCTTGGCCACTCCATCCCATTCCACCACCATCATTCTGGTTCCGGTGAAATAGTTGTCTTGGGTGTTAGAGCGAATGAATTCACTGACAGAGTACATCTGAGGATGGTTACTCGTGAATCCAGTGTATCTCACCGTCCCAGCTATCCTCGTGTCAATATCGGCTCCGTACGGAGAGATTACGGAGTTCGAACCAGGTATACTTGGCGAGGTGCCATCATCATTCGTCCCCAACGAAATGAATCCATTCGTATTAACCTAAGTGCAATCATAGTACGCAGGAAGCTCAAGAGGAAAATAAAGTGGCTAACACACTGTTTATGCCACTATGAAACACTTGAGCATGTTGGACAGTAGACTACCAATGAGACTAGGCAAAGACTATGCTGAACTGTAGGGGCTTTGTGCACTTATAATGTATCTGCATTTTGCAGTATTTACACACGTACGTAGATGCTGTAGTAGACGGTATTTCCAAATCTAAAGCCGCTACTAATATATTCATCACGGGTGACATCATCCTGCCTTGGTAGAGTAGAATATGAGACGTTAGTCACATCCAGCATAGCAAGGGTCCCTGGATCGGTAAGCAAACTTAGTAGACACAATATTACTTTAACTCATGAATACTCCCTGTGTATTATATTATACTAGATTAGAACCATATCAGGAAACTGGTCCTGTGTACTTTGCACCTACCTGTCAACAGAGCTCACATGACTGGCTAAGGTATGCACATTCCTTCATTCTCAGTCCATTACACAATGACATACTATCAAGTACTGGAGTTATGGTTTTCCTCCCAAACGTGTTTCTATTATAGCTGTACTATAGATAGGTATACATTAGGAAAATTTGCTAGCTATGGGATAATAGAGACCCAAACCGCTCATACGATGTGCACAGCACTTGTCAAGAAACCGCCTGTGTAACCGCCAATTACATAGCTAGAGAGGCTAAACCACTTTGGGAGGGAAAGCATCGTGCACTGCAAGCACGCGTGATGGCGAGAAGAGCACGGACATGGCAAGAGATTGAGAAGAACGCTCTTTTGAATTACGATGTAGTCATCGATTACGGTCCATAACCAAAGTCGAACATAGACCGTAGACGACGTAGCTAGCTAGCTAGTCATCAACGGTCGAACGTAAGACTCACCAGAGCCTTCAAGGGCAGTGGACACCTGGAGATGACAGAGGAGAAGGCCGATCAGCACCAGCATGCTCGCCGCTACCCAAGTCTTCATTGTACGAAGTAGAAGCTGGGAATCGAAAAAGTCCGGGGGCGGCAGAGAGCTCTAGGGGGAGCGTTTACTGGGGTTGGTTCCCAGTGCGCATGACCACGCGGTAGCATGCTCATACGAAACTAAGATTTCACCTGTAGCTGTATGCACAATCTAAGTCTCTTGTGGTTTGATTCCGAAATTATCTTCTCTCTTGGATGGAGAAGTCGTTAAACACTAAGTGTTGTTTAAGGACCCATTCAAGTCCAGTTGAACCACGTATTGTCAATTGCAACGCTAATTTCAACACTTTTGCTTTACATCTGAGAGTCCCGAGGAGAGTCCTGTGGGAGTGGAGCCGCAGTCGGTGGGGGCGGATGGCCAATCACCACCGGCGGGAGAGACCGCAAGATTCTAGCTATCTGAGTATGAGTGATAGCTAGCTACATTTAGATAGAGCATAAAAAAGGTGCTGAATTAGTCTGACAGTAGACATAATAACATTGAACCTTATTTAAAAAAGTATGCACATAGATTCTATAATCACATGCAGCGACTGTGATGCTGACAATCCATACACTATTGCGAGTTACCCTTTTGAGTGAGTGAAGTCGATTTCTTCATGTAGAACGCTAAAACCAGAAAAGCTGCAAAGGTTTTTCACAGTGCTATATAGAACGCAAGGAGATTCAGAAGAAAACTTATCACTTTATCGGCTTTGTACGGATAATAACAGAATATGAAAAGCACCCCTCGGCGCATTGTGACATGACGCTCACGCGTAAGTACACGCATGCGCAGTATCACTAATTGATGCACTGGGTTTAGTTTTAGCCCTCTTCATGCAAGCTCGCGCAGAGTCTGACGCGGACTAACTACACTACAAGATAGCATACGAGAGGCGATACACGCCCTGCGTTGCATCTTCTGGCGCCTCCGAGGTACGCAGAGCACGCGGATAGATCAGACTGTGGTAAGCCTTCCCGTCCGTTGCGTATTTGCAATTGCCTTTTTCGCGCTCTAGCTTTGCAACGGAGCATTTTCAGAGAGAACCGCACAATTGTTCTGACCTTCATTGCCCGTTAAGTAGGTAGTATCGTTTGTGAGACGAAAAAACATTCGAGAAGTGAGATGTTGAGTAACAGACAGACAACTCACCAACTATGTAACCCTCGCTGCGCATGCGCGCCGATGGTTTAATAATGCATCATGCTATAGTGATAAACTATTGGAGACACGACAAAGTCAACTATGAGTGTAAAAAAGTCTTTAAGAGTTGATAACTGTATTTGCAGCAGCACCATTGAGTAATGTCTCATGTTTGTGGAATAGTAGGATCCTGGGGCGGGGGAGGGTTGCCCTGGACTGGATACGGGACATCAACAGGATATCCCGGCTGGGGCTGAGGAGGGTAGGGTTGAGGAGGATAGGCAGCCATTGGATTAGGCTGGAACTGGGGATACCCCTGCAATCAAAATTGTATATACTCGGTGGACATTGGAACACAAATTGTGTTAAGAAAAGTGAAGAAAATGTCCTATCACAATACTTTTCTCAGAATGTGGCAGTACATTAGGACTATAGAGCCCAGTGAAATAATAATTAGTTTCCCTTCATATATAGTAACACTTTCTAAATAATTATCTTATACCGCCGCATTCCCTAACTGTAGATTAAGGTCACCTGTGGTGGATATGTGCTAGCAGTCTCATACGAAGGAGGGGCCTCTCCATACTTCATTTGAGGCTGAGTGGAGTAAGCTGGCTGGCTGGGGTAAGGAGCTGGGGGAGGTTGAGCGGGGTAATATGGGCTGCTGTGGCGGGGTAAGCCGTCGGAGTAGCCGAGAACGACGTGTTTCCGGTCGAGGAGACCACGGTCGTGGCTCCACCGCCTATTGGTGTGGTACCAACGATACGAGTCCGCACCAAACGCTGCCGTCTCCTGTTTGACCAGTACACAGTCACCACCACACACATTGGCACACCGACAATGATGAGTATGAAGCAGATCGCAACCGACAGACCCACTGCTAGTCCAACATTGGCTGCAAAACAAAGGAATTAACACTTAACACAATATGATTGCTGTTCATAAAGCAAATCTAAAGGGAATGTATCAGTAATGGATAAATTTAGAAATGTTACTAAAGATAGAACAAAACAATAGGGGCACAGGGAAAGAATGCAATCAAGTTCTGCTTTTCTAAACTTAGCCCTAGCTTGTATATAAGTATACTGCTACGTTCCCTTTAATGTGCAAAAGTAGTGCCAGTTGGACACCCAATTGTAATTCTTTTGTGCAGAATGCACAGACGAGATGACTTTAGTCCAGGATGCACACACCCTGCAATGGTTGGGTGCTGTGTGGCCTTTTCAAAACCAAAGCAAGGACGGGCAGCTCTTATGGGGACCAAGCTACACTTGTATAATGGCAGGGTTTGCCCCCTTTGCTCCGCCACCCCAGCAAAAGAATGTTGCAGAAAGGCTGCTATGAATACCACACATGCGTGGTCTTGCAGTTTTACATGTGGGTACATACATACTATTGATATCCACATGCAAGTTTACACGGGCAAGGCCACACCATTCACTGAGTAGGCAGAGTAATAAATGCACAGAATGTTGTTAAGACATACATGTACCACATCCCTCTTCGTCGCTGTTGTCTCCACAATCGTCATAGTCGTCACACCTGTAGCTGTCAGATACGCACTGTCCGTTGTCACACTCAAATTCATAGCTGCTGTAGCAGTAGCTAGGGTATGTTGGATAGGACGTTGAATATGTCGTTGGATATGTCGTTGGATATGTTGTCGGATATGTCGTCGGATATGTCGTTGGACCATCTGTGCCTGAAGGGTAAAATTGGGTGCATAAATCATGCCTACGTCGACAGTATTTGCTATTATCTCAGCAGTTAATAGATACATAGCTTGTTTGGTAAGCATGAAGTTTTTCACAAGCTACAGGTAAAGGGGATTTGGGTGTGGCTCTGTTTAGCACGGGCCATGAATACTGGACTTTGTACAATTAGGCAGCTTTTGTGTACACATTAGTTTAGCTGCATACATGTAGTTCCTTTACTATAACTATAGATGTCGTAAATGATAGCACTTGAGGTAGAGGAGTAACTGCAGCCAATATCGTTGGAATAAGAAGTTTCACTGAGACTGTGCTCCTCGTAAAGGTCTCTGGAGTAACCCCAGCCAATTGTAGCTCCACTCCACTCCATCCCTCCACACTGATAGATGAACACGGCATAGGAGGCTGAGCCATCAGTGATCAGAACTGCTTGGAAGGTGCTGGTGGCAAACTGCGGGAAAATGTTAATATTAAAAACTGAAGACCTGTATTAGTGATGTACATGTAATTAAGCAATTGCATCATAGCTTTCTCAATATAGAATATCATAAAAGACGCACAATTCAACTTCGTTATGTGAGACAAAGTTGCATGCCGAGGCCCTAAGGGGTTGCCTGGGTTAAACTTGTTATTATTTTTCTTATTCATACTACCTTTCAAGTAAATGATATTGAGCATGTGGTGCATTTCGTCCTAAGGGACTTCCAAAAATCATAAGGGGGGAGTGGTCATTGACTTCGGAGGAGTCAGGTACAACAGATTGCTCCTGGTATTTAATTAACTCACAGAGCTTCCACCGTACTTGGCCACTCCATCCCATTCCACCACCATCATTCTGGTTCCGGTGAAAGAGTAGTCTTCGGTGTTAGAGCGAATGAATTGACTGACAGAGGACATCTGAGGATGGCTACTCGTGAATCCAGTGTATCTCACCGTCCCAGCTATCCTCGTGTCAATATCGGCTCCGTACGGAGAGATTACGGAGTTCGAACCAGGTATACTTGGCGAGGTGCCATCATCATTCGTCCCCAACGAAATGAATCCATTCGTATTAACCTACGTGCAATCATAGTACACAGGAAGCTCAAGAGGAAAATAAAGTGGCTAACACACTGTTTATGGCACTATGAAACACTATGAGCATGTTGGACAGTAGACTACCAATGAGACTAGGCAAAAACTATGCTGAACTGTAGGGGCTTTGTGCACTTATAATGTATCTGCATTTTGCAGTATTTACACACGTACGTAGATGCTGTAGTAGACGGTATTTCCAAATCTAAAGCCGCTACTGGTATATATTTGTCCACTGGTGACATCATCCTGCCTTGGTAGAGTAGAATACGAGACGTCAGTCACATCCAGCTTAGCAAGGGTACCTGGATCAGTAAGCAAACTTATTACTCTAACTCATGAATACTCCATGTGTATTATAGTAGACTAGATCTAGAATCATATCAGGAAACTTGGTCCTGTGTACTTTACACCTACCTGTCAACAGAGCTCACATGACTGGCTAAGGTTGCACATTCCTTCATTCTCCCTCAATGTATTCAATTACACCATGACATACTACCAAGTACTGGAGTTACGGTTTTCCTCCCAAACGTGTTTCTATTATAGCTGTACTATAGATAGGTATACATTTACCAAGGGTCAAGTGATCATTTATCGTGCAAGGAAAAGCTGCTAGCTATGAGACCCAAACTCATACGATGTGCACAGCACGAAACCGCCTGTGTAACCGCCTTCGTTTACATAGCTCTATTAGAAAGGCTAAACCACTTTGGGAGGGAAAGTCTCAAGCACGCGTGATAGCGAGAAGAGCACGGACACGGCAAGAGATTGAGAACAATGCTCTTTTGAAAATCAAACATTACTGATGTAGGACATTCCTTCATCGATTACGGTCCCATAACCAAAGTCGAACATAGACCGTAGACGACGTAGCTAGCTAGCTAGTCATCAACGGTCGAACGTAAGACTCACCAGAGCCTTCAAGGGCAGTGGACACCTGGAGATGACAGAGGAGAAGGCCGATCAGCACCAGCATGCTCGCCGCTACCCAAGTCTTCATTGTACGAAGTAGAAGCTGGGAATCGAAAAAGTCCGGGGGCGGCAGAGCGCTAGGGGGAGCGTTTACTGGGGTTGGTTCCCAGTGCGCATGACCACGCGGTAGCATGCTCATACGAAACTAAGATTTCACCTGTAGCTGTATGCACAATCTAAGTCTCTTGTGGTTTGATTCCGAAATTATCTTCTCTCTTGGATGGAGAAGTCGTTAAACACTAAGTGTTGTTTAAGGACCCATTCAAGTCCAGTTGAACCACGTATTGTCAATTGCAACGCTAATTTCAACACTTTTGCTTTACATCAGAGAGTCCCGAGGAGAGTCCTGTGGGAGTGGAGCCGCAGTCGGTGGGGGCGGATGGCCAATCACCACCGGCGGGAGAGACCGCAAGATTCTAGCTATCTGAGTATGAGTGATAGCTAGCTACATTTAGATAGAGCATAAAAAAGGTGCTGAATTAGTCTGACAGTAGACATAATAACATTGAACCTTATTTTTAAAAGTATGCACATAGATTCTATAATCACATGCAGCGATACGATGGCGGCGCGTGGTTTACTGGTTTTACACGAGTGGCCAGTTTTGATAGGGCATGAGGGCGTAGCCCGAGTGGTCTATCAAAACTGAAGCCACGAGTGTACAACCAGAAAATCACAAGCTAAGCCATCGTATAACGTGTTTGTATGATGACATCCGGCGGTAAGGCTCTGACCAATGAGATCGCACAAAAGCTTTCAAAATGCCCTCTTTTTAACGCACACCCTCGAGTGTACGGCCGGAGAGAGCTAGCGACCAATCGGGAGCGGAGAGACAGCTGCAATAAGCGCTTTAGTTTGGTCAAGCTGGGCGATTGTGCAGAAGCCATGGTCATTTTTTCGAGAGTTCAACGTTACAAGTACGTCACTTTTTCGCTGCTGGACTCCACGCGAGTTTTGTAGCTGCCGCTCTGGCTCGCTTTCTCTCCCGCTATACCCAGCGCTCTCGAATGCAGCCTGTTGCAGTAGCAAGAAAGCTGAAAGTCACATACTGTTCCAGTCTACGGGAGCCTACGGGTCGGGAAGCAGTTTTTAGCTAGTTTTCAGACCGCGTATATACTAGAGCAGTTTCTGGCCATTCTAGCCTGAAAACACTCCCTTCTGGTAAAGAAACAGCAGCACACAAAGAGTGTGAAAGCCCCCTAATTGCATTACACGCTGCCAATTTCCTACTATCGTATAACTACCATATACCCATTGTGGTTTATGCAAATGAGTTTACATACAGCTAAGGTATGGGGAAATCATATGGCCTCTTTATGGTATAACTACCCGTAAACTCAGCAGGAAGCGCTCACTACGCGTGTACGTTGTTTGGACTAGCTGGAATTCCGTTGATCTTACTCTCAGTCATCATACAATGCGAGTTAACCCTTTTGAGTGAGTGAAGTCGATTTCTTCATGTAGAACGCTAAAACCAGAAAAGCTGCAAAGGTTTTTCACAGTGCTATATAGAACGCAAGGAGATTCAGAAGAAAACTTATCACTTTATCGGCTTTGTACGGATAATAACAGAATATGAAAAGCACCCCTCGGCGCATTGTGACATGACGCTCACGCGTAAGTACACGCATGCGCAGTATCACTAATTGATGCACTGGGTTTAGTTTTAGCTCTCTTCATGCAAGCTCGCGCAGAGTCTGACGCGGACTAACTACACTACAAGATAGCATACGAGAGGCGATACACGCCCTGCGTTGCATCTTCTGGCGCCTCCGAGGTACGCAGAGCACGCGGATAGATCAGACTGTGGTAAGCCTTCCCGTCCGTTGCGTATTTGCAATTGCCTTTTTCGCGCTCTAGCTTTGCAACGGAGCATTTTCAGAGAGAACCGCACAATTGTTCTGACCTTCATTGCCCGTTAAGTAGGTAGTATCGTTTGTGAGACGAAAAAACATTCGAGAAGTGAGATGTTGAGTAACAGACAGACAACTCACCAACTATGTAACCCTCGCTGCGCATGCGCGCCGATGGTTTAATAATGCATCATGCTATAGTGATAAACTATTGGAGACATGACAAAGTCAACTATGAGTGTAAAAAAGTCTTTAAGAGTTGATAACTGTATTTGCAGCAGCACCATTGAGTAATGTCTCATGTTTGTGGAATAGTAGGATCCTGGGGCGGGGGAGGGTTGCCCTGGACTGGATACGGGACATCAACAGGATATCCCGGCTGGGGCTGAGGAGGGTAGGGTTGAGGAGGATAGGCAGCCATTGGATTAGGCTGGAACTGGGGATACCCCTGCAATCAAAATTGTACTCGGTGGACATTGGAACACAGATTGTGTTAAGAAAAGTGAAGAAAATGTCCTATCACAATACTTTTCTCAGAATGTGGCAGTGCTATAGAGCCCAGTGAAAGAATAATTAGTTTCCCTTCATATATAGTAACACTTTCTAAATATAGTCATAGTAATTATATCGCCACATTCCTAACTGTAGATTAAGGTCACCTGTGGTGGATATGCGTTAGCAGTCTCATGATACGAAGGAGGGGCCTCCCCATACTTCATTTGAGGCTGAGCAGAGTAAGTAGGCTGGCTGGGGTAAGGAGCTGGGGGAGGTTGAGTGGGGTAATATGGCTGCTGTGCGGGGTAAGCTGTCGGAGTAGCCGAGAACGACGTGTTTCCGGTCGAGGAGACCACGGTCGTGGCTCCACCGCCTATTGGTGTGGTACCAACGATACGAGTCCGCACCAAACGCTGTCGTCTCCTGTTTGACCAGTACACTGTCACCACCACGCACACTGGCACACCGACGATGATGAGTATGAAGCAGATCGCAACCGACAGACCCACTGCTAGTCCAACATTGACTGCAAAACAAAGGAATTAACACTTAACACAATATGATTGCTGTTCATAAAGCAAATCTAACTGTCATTAAAGGGAATGTGTCACTAATGGCTAAATTTAGAAATGTTACTAAAGATAGAACAAAACAATAGGGGCACAGGGAAAGAATGCAATTAAGTTCTGCTTTTAGTAACATTTCTAAATTTAGCCCTTATACTTATGGCGCAAATTTGCGAAATAATTTTGTGCGCTAGACAGAAAGTCCTATAAATGCTCTATAGTTTTCCGTTTGTTTCAGGGGCGTACCCCGTTCCGTTGCGAAGTTATGAGCACAAGCGCAAGTGCCAGTGCCATTCCGCTGCATCTAACGTGAAAAATCGCGTCTAAAGTTCAACTTCCGGTGTAAAATTTCAACCTCCGTATTCTCGTAACAAGTCCGTGTTACAACATTACGCGCACTCGTGCATCCGGCCAGACAAGCAGCCCTACACACAACATCAAATCAATTTGCCCTCCCCTTTACCAGATTCTCGTGAACACATATAGAGCTCCAGTAAGATGCATCATCTGTGGCGACGGGGAGATCACCTCTTCGGAAGGTACTACACAGGGGGACCCGCTAGCCATGGCCATGTATGCGCTAGTTGTGAAACCACTGATTAGGGAATTGAAGTCGGATGCCCCCGGCCCCGGAGTGAAGCAAGTCTGGTACGCGGACGATGCCACAGGTGCCGGCACCTGTGATGACCTAAGAAAGTGGTGGGACAGTCTGCAAGTACACGGCGCCAGATATGGATACCATCCTAACGCTTCCAAAACCCATATCGTAGTGAAAACCGAGCACGCAGTGAGGGCCAGGGAGTTGTTTGCCGACACTGATATCAACATCACTACTACCGAGGGCAAGCGGCATCTTGGAGCGGTTGTTGGCTCTAGATCTCATACCGAAGAATATATATAGGTTAGATGCGGAGCCGAGGTGACTACGCGTGGTAGAGTGCCGAGGGCTCCCGAGCTGTCGGCGTCCCGAGCGCAGCGAGGGCGCTACTAGGGAGCCCGAGGCACTCTACCACGCGTAGTTACCGTGGCGACGCGTCTAACCAGTTTAGATCCATTCAAACTGTTTGCGAAGATATGGCAGCGCCAGGCGAGCTGTTACTATCTTGTCTAGACCAGGAAGACTCCGAGAAGGAACTCGACATACTCATGCTCGCCGCGAGCCAATCCTCGAACGCTCTGGAAAGATACGTGCGCGTAGAGTGGGCGGAGCCCTTTTCCGCGAAGCGCGGCGGACGACGAGGGAATGCTGTAGCTTTAGCCTACCGTTTCTGGCTCGCCGTTGGTAGCTGAAACCTCGCTCGAGTCTCTTACCTATCACGTCTTCACGCTCGCTCCCCAATAGATCCCGTCGTCCGGGGCAGCGGGATCTACGGAAAATAGATCCCGCGTTTGGACCAATGCAATTGCGCGATTTCAAATCACCGGGATCTAAGTGGGAGGCAAGGTGGAGAAATGGTCGGAAGAGATAAAAAAGCTAGCCCATATTGCCCAGACACAACCTCATGCCGCCTACAGTGCTTACACTCACGGTCTCTCGAGTCGCTGGTCCTTTCTGTCTCGAACCATCCCTGATATCGCTGACCTGCTAAATCCACTGGAGGAAGCTATCCAACAACATCTGATCCCAGCATTAACTGGTCGCCCACCTGGCTCAAGAGAGGAGAGGGACCTGCTAGCTCTGCCAGTACGTCTCGGCGGAATGGGAATTACCCGCAACCCAGTATCTACATCACATCGCAACTTTGAAGCCTCAACGAGACTAACATCACCCCTAGTTGCTACCATCGCCACCCAAGATCAGGACTGATTAGTGGACATATCAGAAGTATTGGAAGCAAAGGCCTCAATACGACGATCTAATCGCGAATATCAGGCGCAACAAGCCGAGTCTGTTCACGGCCACCTCTCTCCACAACTGAAACGCCACGTTGACCTTGCTATGGAGAAAGGCGCTTCCTCGTGGCTATCAGTCCTGCCACTTGATGACAACAATTTTTCCCTCCGCAAGGGTGCGTTCAAAGATGCAATTTGTTTGCGATATGGCTGGAAGCTGCCGAACACCCCAACCAAATGCAGCTGCGGCACAGCTACTACACGTGCGCCATGCGGTAGTTTTCTCATAGCCTATCACATACTGCCACATCCCCTTTAATGTGCAATGTGCAAAAGTAGTGCCAGTTGGACACTCAATTGGTACATACATACCATTGATATCCACATGCAAGTTTACACGGGCAAGGCCACACCATTCACTGAGTAGGCAGAGTAATAAATGCACAGAATGTTACTAAGACATACCACACCCCTCTTCGTCGCTGTTATCTCCACAATCGTCATAGTCGTCACACCTGCTGCTGTCAGATACGCAGTCTCCGTTGTCACACTCAAATTCATAGCTGCTGTAGCAGTAGCTAGGGTATGTTGGATAGGACGTTGAATATGTCGTTGGACCATCTGTGACTGAAGGGTAAAATTGGGTGCATAAATCATGCCTACGTCGACAGTATTTGCTATTATCTCAGCAGTTAATAGATACATAGCTTGTTTGGTAAGCATGAAGTTTTTCATAAGCTACAGGTAAAGGGGATTTGGGTGTGGCTCTGTTTAGCACGGGCCATGAATACTGGACTTTGTACAATTAGGCAGCTTTTGTGTACACATTAGTTTAGCTGCATACATGTAGTTCTCTTACCACTATAGACGTCATAAATGATAGCACTTGAGGTAGAGGAGTAAGTGCAGCCAATATCGTTGGAATAAGAAGCTTCACTGAGATAGTGCTCCTCGTAAAGGTTTCTGGAGTAACTCCAGCCAATGGTAGCTCCACCCCACTCCATCCCTCTACACTGGTAGATGAACACGGCATAAGAGTCATAGTCGTCAGTGATCAGAACTGCTTGGAAGGTACTGGTGTCAAACTGCGGGAAAATGTTAATATTCAAAACTGAAGACCTGTATTAGTCATGCAATTGCATCATTTTTAATCGGAGCTTTCTCATAGAATATCATAAAAGCCTCACAATTCAACTTTGTTATTTGAGACATGCCGAGGCCTTGCCTGGGTTAAACTGGTTATTTTTTTGGAAAAAATCTTGTTCATACGACCTTTCATAGGAAATGATATTGAGCATGGGGTGACATTTCGTCCTAAGGGACTTCCAAAAACATAAGGGGGCGTGGTCATTGACTTAAGGTGGAGTCAGGTACGTAAATTGCAACAGATTGCTCCTGGTATTTAATTAACTCACAGAGCTTCCACCGAGCTTGGCCACTCCATCCCATTCCACCACCATCATTCTGGTTCCGGTGAAAGAGTAGTCTTCGGTGTTAGAGCGAATGAATTGACTGACAGAGGACATCTGGGCATGGTTACTCGTGAATCCAGTGTATCTCACCGTCCCAGCATTCCTCGTGTCAATATCGGCTCCGTACGGAGAGATTACGGAGTACGAACCAGGTATACTTGGCGAGGTGTCATCATGATTCGTCCCCAACGAAATGAATCCATTCGTATTAACCTAAGTGCAATCATATAATATACAGGAAGCTCACGAGGCAAATAAAGTGGCTAACACACTGTTCATGGCACTATGAAAGACTTCAGCATGTTGGACAGTAGACTACCAATGAGACTAGGCAAAAACTATGCTGAACTGTAGGGGCTTTGTGCACTTATAATGTATCTGCATTTTGCAGTATTTACACACGTACGTAGATGCTGTAGTAGACGGTATTTCCAAATCTAAAGCCGCTACTGGTATATATTTGTCTGGTGACATCATCCTGCCTTGGTAGAGTAGAATACGAGACGTCAGTCACATCCAGCATAGCAAGGGTCCCTGGATCGGTAAGCAAACTTAGTATACACAATATTACTTTAACTCATGAATACTCCCTGTATATTATACTAGACTAGAACCATATCAGGAAACTGGTCCTGTGCACTTTGCATGACCTGTCAACAGAGCTCACGCACTTTGCATGACCTGTCAACAGAGCTCACATGACTGGCTAAGGTATGCACATTCCTTTATTCTCAGTCAATGTGTTCAATTACACCTTGACATACTACCAAGTACTGGAGTTATGGTTTTCCTCCCAAACGTGTTTCTATTATAGCTGTACTATAGATAGGTATACATTTACCAAGGGTCATTTGCAAGGAAAATCTGCTAGCTATGGGATAATAGAGACCCAAACTCATAGGATGTGCACAGCACTTGACAAGAAACCGCCTGTGTGACCGCCTTCGCTTACATAGCTCTATTAGCTAGAAAGGCTAAACCACTTTGGGAGGGAAAGCATTGGCATGTCTCATGCACTGCAATCACGCGTGATAACGCGCAGTCTAGGCGAGCGCTCTACCAACTGAGCTACCAGGGCAACTCGAGAAGAGCACGGACATGGCAAGAGATTGAGAAGAATGCCCTTTTTGACAATCAAACATTACTGATGTAGGGCATTCATTCATAGATTACGTTCCCATAACCAAAGTCGAACATAGCTAGTCATCAACGGTCGAACGTAAGACTCACCAGAGCCTTCAAGGGCAGTAGACACCTGGAGATGACAGAGGAGAAGGCCGATCAGCACCAGCATACTCGCCGCTACCCAAGTCTTCATTGTCAATACTAAGGTAGAAGCTGGAAAATCGGGAAAGGGCCGGATGCCGGGGTCCCAGTGCGCATGCGCACGCGGTAGCATTGACACTACAGGAACAGTACAAATGTAAAAAATAATGTTTCAAATGTTAGCTATACAAAGCTACATCTGAGAGTCCCGAGGAGAGTCCTGTAGGAGTGGAGCCGCAGTCGGTGGGGGCGGATGGGCAGTCACCGGTGGGAGAGACTGCAAATACAAGATTCTAGCTATATATCTGAGTATGAGTGATAGCTAGCTACATTTAGATGAGCATAAAAAAGGTGCTGAATTAGTTTGACAGTAAACATAATAACATTGAACCTTATTAAAACCGGGCACTTTTTTCAAGTATGCACATAGATTCTATAATCACATGCAGCGACTGTGTATATATGAGGGATGAAATGGCGACTTGATATGAAGGAGGACCCTCTCCAGCACTGAAGCCAGCGTCCCTGTACTCTGGTTAATGTGGAGTGGAGTAAGGAGGTGGGCTAAACTGAGTGGGTTGGTAGCTAGCAGTCCGTAGTTTGCTGTGAAGTGTGTGGAGCTGCAGATTGAGGCTGGTGAGCAGTTTGACTAGCAATTAAGGAGGTGTTCTGTGTCAATGTTACCTATCTCTCTCTTCTGGCTGGAGTAGCTGTGGCGAAGGTTGTCCGTAGACATCTCCTTTTCGCTCGACAGTAGGCCACCATTCCAATGCAAAGGGGAATCACGAGAATGAAGAATATTCCAAGCGAGAGGCCAATAGCCAGTGACACATTCACTGTGAATTAGACAAACATGTAGCTGTACATCATGACAGCCATTGAAATGGAATACTATGAGCTCTCCACGTTTTATCGCTACGACCAATTTCAGACCCCCACCGCAGTCCCCAATTCATCACCCACTTCCATCGACGGACACGCAAACGTACGCGCGTTACGCGTGTGAGCACTGCTCTGATTGATCATAAAAATTCGAGTATATATACGGTTACAGCTTGACTATGACTGTGAAGTGGCAGAGTTCTGTGGTGGTGGAGGTGGAGGGTAAACTAACTCGGTCGACAGCTCGTGATGCTCCTGAGGCAGGTATGGAGCTGTGGGTTGAGGATGACAGTCAGTCACTGGTGCCTTAGACTGTGGGGATTAGCAAAAAGTACTTAGCTAACTATTACCATCACAATACTTCAACAGTCACAGAGAAACTGCAGCTCTGATTGTTAAATGAACAGGCTGGGTCCAATGCCTTGGTATATTTATACGCTGAAGGCATCTTACAAACTAGACTGCTGTACCAGGGCTGCATGAGATGAGTAAACTGGGGCTGTGTAAGATGGATAGGTAGTGGCAGCATCATATGAAGGAGGAGCCTCTCCAAAACTGAACTTGGCATCTCTGTACTCTGGTTGTGGATGAGTTGGTGTAGGGTTGGAAGTTATGGTGGACTGAGTAGGGTAATAAATTGTGTATGTATAATTATAAGTATTATAGCTGAGTAGTGTATAAAAGAGTTGTCAAAAGGTTCTTACACTAGTAGTGGGAGTATTTGTGGTGGCAGGACTTTGAACTGTATTCCGTCTCCTAGCTTTGCAGTAAGTGACCACAGCAATAGTGGCAGGAACTCCGAAAAAGACCAACGCAATGAAGAATCCTCCAACAGAGAGACTAGCAACTAATCCAACATGAGACATGGGGGCTGCACAGGGATACAAAGCTATAATTGAAGGGGTCAAAGTCAGAGTGAGCCAACCCTCAATATACAACTCTTGCCGGTTTTCCTTTCCTTAGTTGCGCACACAGTAATAATTTTCGCTTCTTTGCCAGCGAGCCCGCCTGTTATACTATTCGCACATCCGCTGCCTTAACTCGTTTAGTGTGTGTGTGCGCGTCCGAACCAACGCACGTCCCATCGACCTTAGAAGTTCACATCCGTTTTGGGGATAGTTGCATATGGCTGCCGAAGGACTCACAGAGCCATTTCAGTACGTGGGTGTAGGCGGAGGCCCTTGGTGCAACGCGTTAGTTGAGGCCCTATATTATTATAATAATTATTACGCTAACTTAAGTGCGCATGCGCATAAGCATTCAGAAATAGTGAGCAATCTAGGGCTGAGGAAATTATGCTCAAATATTTGAATTTTATTCTACTCCTGGATTCTTCCATTATGTGCAATTTATGCTCCTATTTTTACCAAATTATGCTTGAAATTTTGAACACAGTATATAATTGGCGTATGTACGCCGTCAATTAGTCACGCTTAGGAATGTAAATTAGTCACCAAAGGAAGTGTAACTTCTGTCATTCGTGGGAAGTCTAGCTTCCGCCGTGCGCGCAGTTCGTAGGAAGTCTGGCTTCGCGCGCAGTCAGTAGAGCGCGCGCACGAGCGGCTTCAATCGGACGTACATATATATGACATTGGCGCGACTAGCGAGGCAAAATATGCGCGTGCGCCTTCCTAGTATAGATTTTATTCCTGGAATATTCTCGGATTGGAGCAGCCCCAAAAAATTCCCAAATTATGCCCGGCATAATTTCCGCACCCCTAGAGCAATCCACTTCACGTTATGTTACACACAAGAATTAGTTAGGGTGGATACCACTGCAGTAGCCACTGTAGAGATGGGAGAGGTTTCCCATTCGAATGGGTGGCCAGTTTTTGCATCATTGTAAGCTACTTCTAGAGCAACTTCGGCCTCTGTGAACATTTGACCTTGTCATACTGTTCTAGTTCTGTAGAGGCACAACCATCAGATGTTCTTTAGGAAATCGGTAAAGTTCATGCATGACGACGTTGTCTGCGCATGCGCACGCTCTCCATTCCGCACGGAACCGGGGCAGCAACCGAGGGCACGCTGTTCTTCACGTCAGATCAGATCGACACACAAAGCAGGGCGATAGATAGAGTAGAGCCAGCTTACAGTGGCCACCGCCGACGGAAAAGAAAGAGGGCTTTGTTTCTTCACGTGTTCGAGACACCGGCAGGTCGGAGTGGGACGGGTGTATTCCATAACGTGGCCCCGCCGTCGGCCAGCGTTTATAGCAGAGAGTGACCGTCAGGTTTTCGCGCTGGTTGGTGGGGAGCCGTGCGTTACGTGAAGAAAGGGATCGAGACGGAGAGGGTACGAGAGATGCCGCAGAAGAAGAAAAAGAAGGGCTCCACCAGCAGTGGTCGGGACGCAATCTCCTCGTCCTCCAGCTCTTCTCTGGCCACCTCGGAACATGTGCGTGTATGTAGAGAGCGTTTGTGGGCAAAATGTGCACGTTTGTGCGCCGTTGTCTGTTGTTTTTTCTCCCATATTGCTGCATATATTATACATACGTCATCCTACCAGAGACATGTAGCTAGTGGTATATGGGCTGCATGTGCTATCACTTCATTGGTCAAACAGTCCCCCATTCTTTATAATTTTCATTCGTTCCTGCCTTTTCCTATTACTATGTAATTTGTCCACCTTCCCTGTCACCATCTTTCATCTCTCCCCCTCTTCCTCCCTCCCCTCTTCCCTCCTTCTCTCACCATCTCCTTGCCTCTTTCTCCTTTTATCCCCTCTCTCACTTCCTTTCTCTCCCTGATCTTTCTCACTCCATTGTACAATGTTCTTTTGTTTGCCTTCCTTCTGTTCCTTCCTTCCCTTCTGGCGTTTTTGACTCTCCCCCCTCTCCCTCCCTCCCTCCCTCCCTCCCTCCCTCACAGCACGACCAACAGAATGAATCTGAATCTCCACATCTCTCAACTCCGAACAAGGAAGACCAACCGCCGGCAAAGAACAGCCAGTATTCCGCTGTTCCGGAGGAGCTAGACCAACTGCTCGCCGGGCTCGGTGCGATGACGAGATCTGACTGTGTGGCTGGCATAAAGAAGGCAGACGAGGCCATCGCTGGCTGTGCCAAGGAGCTGGAGGACGAAGAGGCGAGGATGGACTTGAAGTGCTTGCTGCAGCTGAGGAGAGCAAAGCTACTAAAAATTGTGGTTAGTGTGCAGTATGCAAGCCTGACAAAACGTAGGCTATTATTGTTATTGCCAAACAACCACCTCCATCATTTGCTTCCCCCCACCTTATAAAAGAAAAAAAGTATTTTTAATTTTTGTCCGCACATTCATCTTACGAGGTATAGTAGTGTAGTTTCGGAGTGTACAGCTGTACGTATTACTCATTTTCCACATTGGGTGAATGTCGTAACACTTGGCCAATGAATTATTGCTCACGCTTTTTCCGAAACCTCCTAACGTTATTCAGGGTTACACTGTACCGATGTTTCGCTCTATGTGTGTGCATGTGTACGTGACATCGAGCGGCGACTACAACATAATGAAGTTGATTATCTCCACTAGCGAGGGGCGTGGATGCAAACTCCCGTAGTCCAAACAATGGGTGCTAAGCTAACACTGAAAGTATGTGTATCTGAGTACATTGTCACATGAGCTGTGCGTGATAATATGTATGGTAGGATGTGTATGCCATCTTTTAGTGCTATTGTATATGCAGTTCCAGAAGGCTGCATTCCTGCTGATTAACAGGGTGGTGGTTGTATAAACCATAGGTAATGTGGGTGTAGTCAGGCCAGGGACTGTGCTATCAGCTATATTACAGTAGAATAAACCCCCCAAAGATTGCCTATTTTATCAGCTGTTTTGAGTATAGAGTATAATGTGTACATGTTCAAGGCCCTGGGCATCTGGTGACATGCTCTTTTGTATAATAGTGTGTGTATGTGTATGTTTGTGAAGATGTAGTCTTTGTTGTGTGTGTGCTGGTTTTATCAATCTTTTTGCTAGTGTGCTTTATAATTTAGTGTGTCAAAAGCGAAGGTTATATCATCCCTAAACTCGATCGCTGCTGTTTAACAATCGCATGTACATACATACGTGTGTATGTTTTCCATTAACCATGCAGTCAATATGTGCAAGTATGCCATATGCGTACACGTCTAGTCTAATGGATGTGTTAGCATGTTGGCCTGAGCCAAGGAGATTAACGGCGTCCGCCCATTATGACGCAGTTTCCGACCCTAAGTATCATCTAACATAGAGGGTTGTTGCTGGGGTACTAAGGCAAACCCACCTGCAACTCTTTTGGTTACACTTAAAACTCCAGGGCTGAGGACTTCACTTCACACATTTGGCGGTTTACGAGCCAGCAACAGGAGTGTACTGTGCATAAGGTTTTGAAAGTATCTGAACATGCATGGCATTTGTGTTACGGAACTATCTGGTCTACAATGAAGATTCCTGGACGTGGAGTTCTCCCTATCGAAATCTCTTTCACCGCATGCAAAAGGAAGGGTAAATCATCGAACCTCCATAATAATCTCCAATGCGAGAGCCCAGGATATCCATATCTAACCCACTGAGAAAAATAACGTTTAGTAAATAAAAGAGCAAATCGATGTCGAAATTGGGTAGCGGGTCCGCTTGAATGTATACATGTGCTGTGTATTTCAGGGCTAAGAAAGCTTACAATGTATAGGAATTCTCGTAGAGGGAAGACATTTGCCGTTTGGTGTAGTGTCTCCATTTGAGGGATGTCCTTTTTGTAGGGGATTCTGTCTTCAGTGATGGTGCAGTTCTATGCTAGGGTCCTTACTGCCTGAAAAGCGGTGGTCATTCAACATGTAATATATACCTCGCCTTGCTTCTAACCAAACGGCTAATACTTTTCCAGGCTTGCCCCCTGATTGTATGTCCCGACAATAACAACGAAAGTGCTAACCACGACAATGGGTGTGTGGGAATATCACGAACACTGTTTCAAAAACTTGCCCAAAATATGTCGCATTCGTTCTACTGTACAAATGTGTATAAGACATCGGTTATGTGTACATGTGCATACATACGTACGTATACACATATGTAGTATGTACAGAGATGTGCATAATAATATGGGTTTTGGTACAGTAGATGCTAGCTCAGCACGTTATTCTTCATAACTGTTTATTTTGTGAAAACATAAACACCCACTGCCTGTGTATACATACTTAACCAGTGTATGTTAGTGCCTAGGAAGAATGCCGTGCATGTGACAGTACATACACAGAGTACGGGACCTGAAGTTTACCATCGGCAGCGATTCAACCGTGTACATTGCAAGTGGAATTGCACGAAAAATGAAAAGCACTAAAGTGAAAACCCTCGGCGAACTTCGCATGCGTGGTACCGCTAATTGATGGGCTGGACTATTTAGTATGCGTTTACTCGTGGTCTCTCCCGCTAGTAGCTCGCGGAGAGTCTGACACGGGCTAGCTACAGTAGTAGATAGCATGCGTGAGTCGATACACGGCCTTCGTTGTGACTTATTGTGCCTTCAAGATACACAGAGCAAGCGGATCAGGTCGGGGTGAGCCAGCATACCGCGTCTAATATATGCATGCGCACCGCTTATTGATGGGTTGGGCCACAGAACACGGTCCGCGACGGTGCCAGTTTGTCGCTCTCGAACGCAGTCGTTTCAGGAAAATCGCCCTTTTCAGGCTCGTGTATTTCTGAAGCCGCTTGTATCGCTAATGGGCCGCTTCGTAGCCTGTAGTGCCAGAATAAGCCGGGGAGTCCTAGCTAGAGCAGTAGATAGAATGCGGGAGTCGATACACACCCTTCGTTGTGTCTTCTTGTGCCTTAAAGTTACACAGAGCAAGCGGACCGGTCGAGGCGATGCGCATGCGGCACTATGTTGGCAATCCTATAATTGAAGAAATGCATGTGAAGCCATAGGATGTTGGCCTGCAGGGTGATTATAGGGTAGTTTGGCATTCTGTGGTACTGTGTTGTTGTTGGGTGCTATTTACAGTACCCAGTCACATGCAGGAATGCTAATTAATGTGGACAAAACAAGAAGAATGTGTGTGTCAGTGTGTGTGTATCACCAAGTGCCATCTGGGAACTATTAGAGTATATACTGTTTCAGTGTTAGCTACTTATGTATAATGTAACTGACAAAGAGAGCGAGGTTTGTGAGTATCTGTGTATAACTATAGCTCATGCAAACCGAATTTCTACTTTTAATGCTGCGGTTTTAGCCCGTGGAGACAAAACACGAAGAATGTGTGTGTCAGTGTGCGTGTATCACCAAGTGCCTAATTTTAGGGATTGGCATGGCACTCCTGTACATTGAGGAGGTAACTCTGCCATACCAGCTGAGCTACTGAGGCAGCTCAGCTGGCTGGCCTGAATCGATCACACAGAGCAAGGCAGAGCACTCTGTGTTCTAGAGAGGGCTGTACCAACTGAGGCAGCTCAGCTGGCTGGTCTGAATCACTCACACAGAGCAAGGCAGAGCACGAGCGGGCTCTACCAACAGTCATCCCAGCTGGGCTGAGCTGGATCACATTCTGTAGCATTACTAATTGGCTCGGCTCAGCTGGCTGGGCCAAGTTTGCTCTTATTGGTCAATGCATTGCTACCTTTGTTGTAGGGCTTACTGCAGGCGGTAATAATCGCTTAGCTGGATGGGCCAAATCACTCATTATTGTTGTAGAGCGAGACATACATAGGTACCGCGCTCCGTTTTGCATGGTACAGCAATAAGCAGCTCAACTGGCTGGACACAAATCTATGTCGTAGAACAAAGCAGACGACTCTGGGATCAATGGGACACATTAGAATGCCTAGCATATCTGCCAGGTTAAGTCAGGATGCACATGTATGTATGTACATTTATTTCCGTATTTTGCTAGATCTGTTTGATGAAAACACCAGTAATCCCCAACATTATAAAATCGAAAACTGCCCAAAATTAATCTTAGAGATACATAGACTTGCTTTCCTACCCTCACTTTCTTTGTAAGTCTAAAAAGTTCACCACCACTGCCTTTTCCCCAGGGAAATGTGCATTATTCTAGAACTCTCTCCCTGTCATCCCTCACCTCCGCATCGCTCCTCTCTCGCTCCGTCTGCAGAAAATACGAAGACATCTCCGCTCCATACCGACAGCTCGATACTCGCCCTCCCGCTCCACTCATATCCTTCTCTTCCTCCATCTCTCCTCCTCTATCCTCTCTCTCCTTCTCTCTCCCTTCCCTCCCTCCCTCCTCTATCTCCTCCCTCCCTCCCTCTCTCCTCCCTCTCTCACACAGTTTGACAAGAGGTATGGCACTCTTGGACTGGCCACCCAGCACAGCAAGCCACTGGAGAGCTGCATGTACGACTGCCAACAAGGTCTGTTCCATTCGCCACTACCTGACACGCCGCGTTCAGTCCTTTTGCTGGATTTCGTTTGCATGGGCCCATCATACCCATACATTATAGACTTTTCTTGCAACTCTGTCTCACTCAACAAAGTTGGCATCATGTGTCATGCCCCTTAGACTGCATGTGGTTTTTATGTCTGTCGCCATCATAGATTGCTATGCCGTCATTCCTAAGATGTAGAGTCCGCCTTTCAACACTGAAGTTCGAATGTTTCCGCACTCTACGTGAATTAGTGCATTGACCAATCAGATTGCGCGATTTAAAAGTTACTTAAAAGAAACTAATTGAGTCAGTATATTGCTCATGTTATCACTATTGGGTGCTGTACTACTAAAGTACTACATACGAGCTGCCTGTTGTGTGCATGCAGTTCTGTCGGTGCTGAGAGTGAGAGACGAGGACTCGCCAGCGACCAGTGTGTACCAGGAGGCCAAGGCACTGCTCATACAGACAAAGACACTGAAGAGGGTGAGTTGAGGGGTGCAGTTGGAGAGAGAGAGGTGGGGGTGGAGGGAATGGGGTATTTTGTCTCTTATACAACGTAACGATGTGGTGGACATGAAAGAAATTCCAACGCTAAATGAACGGCTTTTCAGAAGGGAACGGAAGCCCAACAAAACGGGAACGAAACGAAATTGGACCCCTATAGAGTGTACCTGTGAATGTGTCTTCTGCCTACACATGACACACTACCTGCATGCATGCAGCATCTAGTGGGCTTCCATGACAGCATAGTACAGTATGTAATACTGGGAGTACATGTATACACATACATATGTACACATGTACATGTACATGTATACACATACACATGTACATGTACATGTGTATGTGATGCCGTGCCTTCATGCACATACATACATAGATAATCCCAGCAAGTATATATGGAAGGTATTAGACCATGTGATGCCATGTGAATAGAGCCCTGCTGAGAAATGTATGTACTTCACTGAGCTGCACATTGGCCCTGGTGTAGCAAGAATGTAAAGGATCTGAGAGCTTCTAATGCCCTTATCAATGGATGAGCTGTATAGTGCACCTCTAATGTAAGATGTACTGCGAATGCATGCATGTACACATACGCTAATGCTGTGATTAACCACTCTCTGCCACTGTTGTGATTAACACCTCTCTGCTGCTGTTGTGATTAACCCCTCTCTTCTAATGCTGTGATTAACCACTCTCTGCTACTGTTGTGATTAACCCCTCTCTGCTGTTGTTGTGATTAACACCTCTCTGCTGCTGTTGTGATTAACCCCTCTCTTCTAATACTGTGATTAACCACTCACTGCTACTGTTGTGATTTAACCCCTTAGGAGGAGGATCCTGAGGTGCGGACGAGAAGCGGCACGACAGTGACTCAATCCCATCACCGTAAGTCCTCCAGCTAGTCCTCCAGCACAGCTAGCTCGCTCTCTGTGAACAAATGCCAGTACATACACAGCTGGCACTCCCTCGAAATATTCTTGTTTTGCGTGAATATCACATCATGTTTACCGAAGTCTACTTGGTAATGCTGCAACTAAGTATGAATACCGTCCAAATGTGTTTTTTATATCGGAGTACAAGTGAGAGTCCGTGTGTGCATGTTCTTTTTTTCTGGCCTAGCGCCCAATAAAACCGGAGAGCTTTACCCAGAAAACTAGAGTACAGGGAATAAAGGTGTGCATTAACTAGAGTACAGGGAATGAAGGTGTGCATTAACTAGAGTACAGGGAATGAAGGTGTGCATTAACTAGAGTACTGGGAATGAATGTGTGCATTAACTAGAGTACAGGGAATGAAGGTGTGCGTTAACTAGAGTACAGGGAATGAAGGTGTGCATTAACTAGAGTACAGGGAATGAAGGTGTGCATTAACTAGAGTACAGGGAATGGGCAGGCATACGCTTCAATTGGTAACACACGGTAAAAGTAGAATCAAAGTGAGCGTAGCGAAGCTATTTATGTATACATCCGTGAGACTAGGCCATAGTATTATTATAGACAAAAACACTGGTCAAACAGCAGACGGTGGGATTGAATGACCGACATTTCTTGATACAATGAACATAATATGTGGATGAGTATTTTACTCACATAACTGAACACGTACATAGTAAATTCAATTTTGAAATCTTTGGTGGAATGTGCCAGTCACACGTCATTATTGTATTCATGCACTCACAGACATCTGCTGTGCACATCAGCTGTTATTCAGTGTTCTGAAGCTGAGGGTGGGCGAAAAAGGGTCACTTTGATGAAATTTACAATCTCACTGTACTCTATACATGTACAGTGTACATTGGTAATGCGTTAGGGTGGGGGAGGTGGTGGATAGAAAGGGGGTGTGCCTGTCAGTGAGTTGTGTTTGCTCTGTGTATATACTACATATAATTCCGGGAACCTATGAATATCAGGTGAAGCGGTACACTGGTTATTTACATACTGTATGTGTGCCCAAAGCTTCATGACATGAATAACCAGCTGGGCAGGTGTCTGCGTTGTGCATGCATCACTGGGAGTTACGATCGTTTAAGAGGCAGTTGCAGAGTAACAAGTTTGCCAATGTCATGTTACCTCATTCCCAACCTGCTCGTCCCTCTCTGTCACCCTCTCTGTCACACTCTCATCTCATTTTCCATTCCCCCACCCTCCATTCCCCCTCCTCCCTCTTCTCTCTATCTCTCTCGCTTTCCATCCCCCCACCCTCCATTCCCCCCTCCTCCCTCTTCTCTCTAATTTTCCATCCCCCACGCTCCATTCCCCTCTTCTCTCTCTCTCTCTCTCTCTCTCTCTGCCCCCACAGCCACGACTGGTCCACTGTTCTTCGAACCGTCCAAGACACACATCAAGGACATTTCGGAGATACATCCCGTCCTCCTCCAAGACGTCGTCAACTGCTACAAGAAATACAAGTACGTCTGTCGCATCTGCTTCATTCGCTACAACCGCCAGGAAATTGTCGTCGGTGGGAAGCCCTGTAAACGCTGCAAGAACGCGACCACGGTACGGATCATGCCGTGCAGCAAGCTGTGCAAGAACTTCCGCGACCTGAAGATCCTGGCCATCCCCCCGCCGCCAAAGGTGCTGATGGCGCCCACGAATCTCCACAAGCCGTTCCTCTACTGCCGGAACTCTGACCACCTGTTGTGCTACGACCGAGCAAAGGAGTCTTGGTACGGGCACTCCGTGGAGGAGCTGGTGGTCTGGACCATCGAGAGATTCTACGGTCAGTCTATTGACAACTTTTTCCACTTTACCACGATACATGCTTATGTATGTATATAGCATGATGTACACTTTGTTGCGTGAATAGGTGGGTAGTAAAATGGGAGTAGTGGGTATGTATCTGTCAAGCTGTTGTTAACCCTCGGCGCGCATGCGCAGCGAGGGTTACGGTAGTTGGGTTTGTCTGTTTGTCTGTTTGTCTGTCCATGCTCCAACTCACTTCTCGATGGTTTATTCGTCCCACAAACGATACGACGTAATAAACGGGTAATAAGAATTAGTTTAATCGAACGGTTTTTCCTGAAAGGACTGCGTTCGAGAGCGACAAACTGGCACCGTCGCGGACCGTGTTCCGTGGCCCAACCCATCAATAAGCGGTGCGCATGCGTATATTAGACGCGACAACGCGGTATGCTGGCTCACCCCGACTCTTGATCCGCTTGCTCTGTGTATCTTGGAGGCACAAGAAACCACAGCGAAGGGCGTGTATCGACTCCCGCATGCTATCTACTACCGTAGCTAGCCCGTGACAGACTCTCCGTGAGCTACTAGCGGGAGACTGCGGGTCCGTCCATTAGCAGTACCGCCTATGCGCAGTTCGCCGAGGGTTTGCACTCAGTGCTTTTCATTCAAACAGGTTTGGTTCTTGAACTCATGTGATACTACCCTATAGGGGCAAAGTTGCGTGCAAATATATGGGTATGATAGACGGTAAAACAAAGATGCGTGACATATAAACCACTTGTAGCGTGTTGCATTGTGCCCTATTATGCCCATACATTTGAAACAACATGCATGGCCTTAACCCTTAGCAAGCCACAGGCATATAAATATATGCCCAGAGCCTCCATAAGTCCATAAGAATTTATATATGATTATAATACTAGACGTTAATATTTTATATATCAATTTATGCTTGAGGAGATACCCATGGTGTCAAAGGGTTAACTTAATTAGCATACTCTCCCCCCTGCTTAAGGAGATACCCATGGTGTCAAAGGGTTAAAGGGTTAATGAGATGCATACTCTCCCCCCTCGTACAGACTGTTCGTTCACCGAGTACGTTGCGAAACACCACGTGGAGGTGGCAAGTCAAGTGGAGGACCCGGCGAAGGGTCCCTCTGACCAGAAGACGATGGACAACCTCGACACCTTCTCTGACGAACAAGGTCTCTTTCGAGGGAATGGTCAGTACTTAACCCTTTGGGCGCAATTTAAGGAGACACCTATGGCGCCCAAAGGGTTAAGGGCTAAATTTAGAACGTTTTACTAAAGATGGAACTAAAAAAATAGCTCCCAGTGCCTTTGTTAATACATATAGGCTATGTGTTTAGAAATTTTTCTAAATATAGAACTTAACAATAGGCCCAGGCAGACATTTTTAGTAACAGTTTCTAAATGTAGCCCTTACATACTGCCACATTCCCCTTAATTTAGCCCATAATTTTACTATTCCACATTCCCTTTAATATGTATGAAATTATAGTTCATATAGCATACCAGCCATAGGTATGTTAGATAGAGAATAAAAACCACCACCAATATATCCACAAATCCCAAAACGTCCATAAAAAACACATACACAAACACACATGACATGACATGAGAGCAGGGCACTGGGTGCCCAGCCTTGAGAACTGGGGCGGTGGGTTAAAGAGTTTTTATGGCTAGCCAACTCTCCCCACACACCCAGTATCCAAACTCCACATCACAAACAATGACAGCCACACAGTGAGTAACTGTACGATAGAACAGTCACGACAACACAAGTAGAGTATGATACATATAAATATATATATTAGATGGTAGAAAAATGAAATTGGTATATAGCATGGTAGAGTGGTAAAAACAAGGTAGAATGACTCACTTGTAGCAGTAAACGCGGTGCGCTATCGTGCTTCCAATTAGTAGTGTACATACATAGTAAATTATGCAGTAGTCACCTTGACGCTTGTGTCTGGCAACTGTTTGTGTACAAAAATTCTAGCTACCAATCCCACAGGATCCTCTATGTGTTGAGACATGGCGGCCCAGGAATCCATCACTGGCTGGCCGTCCTCAGTATTTGCAATGCAAATGACTTTTTGCAAACCTTATAAACGCTTTACATAGCTCCGCATATCTAAATCCTTGATTTATTAACTTTTGGGTGAGTTTGTAATGTCGCTCACAAAATTGCTCGTAACCACTGCATATTCTACCTATACGTACAAGTTGGGAAACATATACACCATAAGCTGGCTTAGATGGGATGTTAGAACTCATATTTGGGAAAATTTACGATGTCAAAGTGAAAACTATCCCTCTTATCATACAGCGCAGTAGAATATTTTCCATGTTCTATGGTAATAAGTATATCCAAGTAGGAAAGTGTAGTTGGGCTCTCCGTAGTTTTCTTGAGCTGAAGCTCAGAAGGATATATGTACAGGCAGTAAATGTATTATTGACAGAACTTAATTCCTTCTTGTATTCTGCTGATGCCTACAATAATGTGTATTTGTACGTAATGTACACTGTTGCCGCAGAAGATTATGAGTTCTATCCGAACGGGGCGTCGTTCCTGCCTCGAGGGCTGGCCAACATCCCCAAACACCTCCTGGATGACGTCATCAAGTGCTATGCCGAGAGAAGAGAGTACTGCAAGGTATGCCGCCTACAGCACACCATACTTTAGAGCGAACGCAACACGCGAGGTATGCTGCCTACAGCACGCCATACTTTAGAGCGAACGCAACACGCGAGGTATGCTGCCTACAGCACACCATACTTTAGGGCGAGCACAACACGCGAGGTACGCCGCCTACAGCACGCCGTACTTTAGAGCGAACGCAACACGCGAGGTATGCCGCCTACAGCACGCCGTACTTTAGAGCGAACGCAACACGTGAGGTATATATGCCGCCTACAGCACACCATACTTTAGGGCGAGCGCAACACGCGAGGTACGCCGCCTACAGCACACCATACTTTAGGGCGAGCGCAACACGCGAGGTACGCTGCCTACAGCACACCGTACTTTAGAGCGAACGCAACACACGAGGTATGCCGCCTACAGCACACCATACTTTAAAGTATGCCGCCTACAGCACGCCGTACTTTAAAGCGAACGCAACACGCGAGGTATGCTGCCTACAGCACACCGTACTTTAGAGCGAACGCAACACGCGAGGTATGCCGCCTACAGCACGCCATACTTTAAAGCGAACGCAACACGCGAGGTATGCCGCCTACAGTACGCCATACTTTAAAGCGAACGCAACACGCGAGGTATGCCGCCTACAGCACACCGTACTTTAGAGCGAACGCAACACGCGAGGTATGCCGCCTACAGCACGCCGTACTTTAGAGCGAACGCAACACGCGAGGTATGCCGCCTACAGCACGCCGTACTTTAGAGCGAACGCAACACGTGAGGTATATATGCCGCCTACAGCACACCATACTTTAGGGCGAGCGCAACACGCGAGGTACGCCGCCTACAGCACACCATACTTTAGGGCGAGCGCAACACGCGAGGTACGCTGCCTACAGCACACCGTACTTTAGAGCGAACGCAACACACGAGGTATGCCGCCTACAGCACACCATACTTTAAAGTATGCCGCCTACAGCACGCCGTACTTTAAAGCGAACGCAACACGCGAGGTATGCTGCCTACAGCACACCGTACTTTAGAGCGAACGCAACACGCGAGGTATGCCGCCTACAGCACGCCATACTTTAAAGCGAACGCAACACGCGAGGTATGCCGCCTACAGCACGCCATACTTTAAAGCGAACGCAACACGCGAGGTATGCCGCCTACAGCACACCGTACTTTAGAGCGAACGCAACACGCGAGGTATGCCGCCTACAGCACGCCATACTTTAAAGCGAACGCAACACGCGAGGTATGCTGCCTACAGCACACCGTACTTTAGAGCGAACGCAACACGCGAGGTATGCCGCCTACAGCACACCGTACTTTAGAGCGAACGCAACACGCGATGTATGCTGCCTACAGCACGCCGTACTTTAGAGCGAACGCAACACATTTTATGTGAATGGGTGCGAGATTCATCTGCACAATGAAGTTCAACTCAGTTACCAGTACAACATATTTACATGTATAATGCTATGTTCATAGCCTTTACAACCAATCAATGATGTCAGAAAGTCAACTAGTGCTGGATCTTTGCATGAAGTCATTTTTCTTGGATTTCACACCACTTGCCTCTCCTCTCTCCTCACAGACGTGTTTCTACAAGATGGGCAAGAAGGGAGAGTTGAGTGTCGGTCCACAAAATACGTCTGTTTGCAAGCTCTGTCGTCACCCCTGGGAACGGGTGGTCGTCATGCCATCGAGTCGGCTGTGCTGGAACTTTGGTGACTTTGACGTCATTCCAGTCGCTCCCCTCCCTCGCGCCAAGACAATGAGTCAGTACTCCACATTCAGATACTGCATCAACGACAACCACTACAGGTTTGTTGGTTAGCCTGCAAACTACTTGCCTTTTTGTTGTATTTTCAGATTTTCATTCGCAAAAATTGATAAATTTACTGTGAATGTATATAGTTGAACCTCTGAACAACGATTTTGTCCTTTTAGAGCGGTCGTCAGGTCAAATAATACACTAAAGTATTAGCATGGGGTTGAAACAAGTGTCCTTTGTAGAGAGGTTGTCCCTATCTCGGAGGTCAAATAATACACTAAAGTATTAGTATAGGGTTGAAACAAGTGTCCTTTGTAGAGAGGTTGTCCCTATCTCGGAGGTCAAATAATACACTAAAGTATTAGTATAGGGTTGAAACAAGTGTCCTTTGTAGAGAAGTCGTCCCTATCTCGGAGGGTCCCTTATCGGAGGTATTGCAGATCTGTATTGGAGCTTGTGGAGTGTGAGCATTGTTCAAATGTGTGCAAACGTTCTTTCCGCAGGTGTTTCAAGGTTTACATTGACAACGAGTTCTGGTACGCTCACTCGGTGGAAGAACTGGTCATCTGGACTGTGGAAAAAGAGAAAGGTGGCCGACTTTTACACGTAGTAATGTGTACATACATGTCGTGTACATACATACTCGTGCAGTCTTAGAGTGACTTGGTTCACTATGTTTAGTGGTGCGGAGTATGTGCGTACGTACTAGGAATAGGGTTGAGAATACATATGAAATGTGTGTAGGTTTTCACGATAGGGATATAGTGTGTAATTGTACACGCAGTGTAGTGATGTGTTAAGTACTATTATAGGAACATAGAATGCTGTCTCAACTGTCCTGCCGTTGACTCCTCCATTTCCTTACATTTACCTCCCCCCTTCCCCTACTCCTCGTGTCCCTCGAGCGCCGGCCGCGCCGCGCGGGCGGCCGCGAGCGCGGCCGCGCCGCGCGGGCGGCCCGCGAGGCCGGCCGCGCCGCGCCCGCGAGCGCCGGCACGCGCTGCGCGGGCGGCCCGCGAGCGCCGGCCGCGCCGCGCGGGCGGCCGCGAGCGCCGGCCGCGCCGCGCGGGCGGCCCGCGAGCGCCGGCCGCTCCGCGTCGGCGCCCGCACACTCCCGCGAGCGCCGGCCGCGCCGCGGGGCGGCCCGCACACGCCGCGAGTCGCCGGCCGCGCTGCGCGGCCGCGCCGCGCGGCGCCGCACACGCCCGTGCCGCCGTGCGCGCCGCTGTCCGCCCGCACACGCCGCGAGCGCCGCGCGCCGCGCGGGCGGCCCGCGAGCGCCGTCCGTCCCGCGCGGGCTGTCCCTCAATCTCCTGCGTCGCGCTGCTTCCCTCTATGCTCCTGCCTGCGCCGCGCTGCGGCCCTCGATCGCCGCCGCGCCGCGTCTGTCCTCCGCACACGCCCTCTAGTCTCCTGCTCTCCTCATCTTACTCCCTCCACACTCCCTCTATCTCCTTCCTCTCCTCTCTTTCTCCCTCACACTCCCTCTTCCTCCTTCCTCTCCTCTCTTTCTCCCTCACACTCCCTCTTCCTCCTTCCTCTCCTCTCTATCTCCTCAGATTGTTCCTTTTCACAGTTCATCAACAAGGGTCGTAAACCAGCTCTGTCTCCCCCAGGTCTCTCCCTCCCCCACCTCCCCACCCCCCTCACAAAACCACACACACACTCCCAAATCACCCACGGCGACGACAACAACCACGACATCATCGTCGGCTATAATGACATCGTCAACTACGCAATCCACAACCACCATCTCTTCCAATGCTGATGGCGACCCTCCGGAAAGTGCAACTCTCAAGGGTCAAAGTGCGGGGAAAATTGGCTCCTCGACCCCCTCATTTTCCCAGGTTGTCGTGTCGGGCCCCCCGGTAAAAATTCGGCCCCCACCGTCTGGGAAGCCAAAAACCACGGGGTCAGAGTTACAGCCTGCTCAAATTTCAGTCGACGTTGATGCGGTGAGTGTGAACTCAAACAGTTCTGGTTTTGATTCTCGCGTGACCGGTTTGACGAGCGTCTCTTCCCCACCTCCGGCAACCGCGGCGGCCGCAGCGGCACGAGCGATTAGCCCAGGGGGCGGAGTCATGCTCGAGAGCCCCACCCAACCGGGATCCAGCGGTGCCAACCACTCGACAAAGACGCGACACCACTCGGAGAGCAGCTACATGACGGCACTCTCACAGGACAGCGTATCGTCAAACGGCAACGAAGAGCTTTCGCAAGAGAGCGTCAACAGTGCCCCTGTGAAGCCACGAACGAGCGTGGGTTCTTCTGCTTCCGGCAGAACGACCGCGACGGGTCCGGGAAAACCAAAGACGGCGGTGAAATCCAACACTACCAGAAGTCGCCCGAACTACAAGGTGATGAAAATGCCCGAGGGTGGTGGTGGAGGGGGAGGAAGGGGTAAGGTGAGGAAGGAGTTACGAACCGCGGACGGAGTTGCAAACGAGGTCGGCATCCCTGGAGTAGGCGAGAGAGAAGAGCAAGCGGATGCCAACCTGACGTCTTCAGAGGTTTCCAACACTGAGTTTGAACCCAGCACGCAGTGTGCCAGCGACACCGGACTCTCGCAGCCTAGCGACCACATATTCTCTCTGTCTCACACTCATGTCGTCAACAACAGCGACTATTCTTTGAGCTCTGTTGGTAAGGAGGGCGGTAACTTGACGATAAAGTCATCGCTCCCAAATGGAGGGTTTGGTACCACGAACTCGACCCACAATGCCGGGTTTACGGCTGGTTACAGACCGTCTAGACCACCTGGCTACACCAATTCTACTGCGGGATTTCCCTCGCATCCCGAGAACCTCGTTAGCCCTAATCATCAGGGGTTTCCCACTGCCTATGGCGCTACAACAGCACACACTAAAGACGGTAAGGCTTAGAAGCTTTTTTTGTATGTGCATGCCTCAACAACTTGATAGCGAGGTAGAAAGGCAAGGCACAACAAACAAGTCAACTACACCCAGGACAGCTCTTTCTTTTCAAAGAAAAGAAGAAGAGCTGCCCTTGGTTGGATTCGAACCCACGACACTCTGCAGTCTAGGCGAGCGGAGCGCTCTACCAACTGAGCTACTATATACCAATACCAACAAACGCACCGTACTTAATCATCTATGATAGTATGTGCAGAATCTTGTATGTATGTACAAGTGATGTGTTTCCACATGTTTAGTGTTTGAATGCTGCTTTACGTTTGATGTTATTTACCATTGCCCTCTCTCGATATTGTACACATGCAGTGTACAAGTTCCATCTGGTCACATTCCGAGGTCTGTCTGACGTCCCACTACCGCTCATATCGGCGATAGCCCCGTCGTACGCGAGACGACGCGAGGTGTGTCGCAAGTGCTTCTTCGGAGAGCGGAGTCTCTGTCGGGAGGAGGGCGGGGTCTGTGGCGAGTGTGCTCAGCCGTGGGAGAACCCAGTCACAGTGATACCTGGTCAGTGCAATTGTCTTATTGGAGAAAAAATGGCAACTTGCAAGTTCTAATCCATGAATCGTGCCCTTTATAAACGGAAACCTAATTGCATTCTTGGACTGGGCCCCATTGTTTAGTTCTATCTTTAGTAACATTTCTAAATTTAACTGAACCGGGACTAAATTGAGTTGATCTGGACACGTTAAGGCCTCTTAGAGTGCCTTGGACAGGAGGAGTTTGGGAGAGTGGAATACCTATTAATGATGTGTGTTTGTTTGGCTCAGGTTGCAAGGAGTGCAACAACGAGCCTTGCTTCGACTCGGACGACTACGTCCCGCTCCACCCGCTGCCTCCCGTGGCAACCATCCGTCGCTGCTCCCTCAAGAACCACCACAAGTGCTTCCAGAAGAGTCTGGAGTCGAATCCCAAGTTTGCCCACTCCATTCAGCAGCTGGTCGTCTGGCTTATCGAGAGCGAGAAGGGTATGTTATTATCACAAGTACCATAGTACAATAGTACTAGGAATGCGCACGCGCATATTTTGCCTCGTGCCTGCCAGCCAATGCGTAAACAGTCCGACTGAGGCCGTGCGTGCACACGCTGCACGCGAAGCCAGACTTCCTACGAATCTGCGCGCACGGCGGAAATTGACATTCCTAAGCGTGACTAATTGACATTCTTAAGCGTGACATTCTTAAGCATGACCGACACGTACGCATATCGCGAGAATACAACGCGCTCGGCAATTATTATCACTACCATAGTACAATAGTATTATGGGGATGACAAGGCTCCCACAGCATGTATGTCAATTCATACTGTACATTCTCAGTGTGTGTGCTATTATGGAGCTTTTCTGATATTATCGTTCCTCAGATTGTACTTTCGAAGAGTTCATCAACGGAGAGCTGAAGATGTTGGTGACTCATCCTCGACCTGACTCAACCTCTCACAATGCCCCAGCTGGTACTGCATGTACACATAAACCAATTATCCTCAATACTTTCACTGCAGTTGGAGTATATATATACTTAGGCTAGGTGCAATATGCACTCTCTTTGAATCCCTCTATTGATCCCCAACCCTCATTAAGGGTGTCAACGATTTTTTTGTGGGCACATGAGTGGAAGGAGAAACAAACCAACTATCCTCAATACTTTTACTACAGTCGGAGTATGGAATAGCTCTATATCGCTGTTCCTATCTCTATCTTGCCTCAAACTCACTTTCCCTTTGCTAATCCCTAATCCCCATAGTTCGTAATAAGGGTGTCAACGATTTTGCATTTTTATGTGCACATGAGTGGAAGAAGAGGCAAACCAACTATCCCCAATACTTTGACTACAGTCGGAGTATGGGATAGCTACTGCATATCTCGCTATTCTTATCTTTATCTTGCCTCGAAGTCACTTTCCCTTTGGTAATCACCGTGTGTAGTTCGTAGTAAGGTTGTCAACCATTTTGCCCATACTGCACTAATGTGCAACCAAGCCAGTCATACATTGTGAATGTGTATATTCACGTGATGTACTAATATGATCATCCAGGGGTGACGGTGCTCCACAGCAGGCAGTACAGTGGAGGAGCAGACCCTGTGGCGCAGTTACATCACACCGCCACGGCTCCCCAGGGCTTCGTGGCCAGCCCAGGTGCAGGCATCAATGCCTCTCCCTCCCCCACTGACCTCAAGCCGCCCCAGGCTTCCGCCGCCACCGCCACCGTGACGACGAACTCTCACCTCCGACTTCTGACCCCCAAGTACAACGCCAAGAACGTTGGTTACGAGTACATCGAAGACATCCCCGGAGACCTCCTCGCTGCCGTGGCTCTCTGCTACCACTCGCTCCAGGTCGCCTGTCGTCAGTGTTTCCTTACCGGCGGTTCTCGCCAGGTCACCACGGCCAAACGAAAGTCGTCTTCGTCATCGTCGGACGCTTGCATCGAGGGTCACACGTGGCGACCGCTAGCTATAATACCCGGCTGTCGTCTGTGCACCCACGGCAAGAACAACCCAGGTTATCACGTCCCAGTGCTCCCGGTACCGCGGCACATGAAGGGGAGTCCGGCGCAGTTCTGCATCTGCAAGAAGAGCGACCACGGACAGTGCTACAAGCTGACCACCAACCCGTGGTTCCCTCACTCTGTGGAGGAGCTGGTGATATGGACCATTGAGAGGGAGAAATGTGAGTGAATTACTCTACGGCAATACGTAATTTTACATACACCGTAGTATGCCAAATGGTGGATAGACAGACAGACGGACGGACGGACGGACACACGCACATCCACACAAACAGACCAACTACAATAACCCTCGCTGCACATGCTTCGCTGCTCTGTAGTATAATTCCTGTTTGGTTTTTTTGGGGGTTTTTCTTTTGGTTTTTCAGGAAGTTTGATTCTGTGCATTTGTGTTTGCATTTTTCTACAGCTGTGTCATATGAGACGGTGGTCAAGAGCTACCTGCCAGGCCCCGAGTGGTCTCACCTCACTCCAGAAAATGTCTTCCTTTGCCCTCCTTCCCGCTCCTCCTCTGCCTCCTCTCTTACCCTGACTTCAGCCAGTGGTAGTAAATCGGGCAGGGGCCGCTCTCCTTCTCACGTCGCCTCAACGTCTTCCTCGTCCTTCGCTTCTCGCGGTGGGAGTGACACCGCGTCGTCCCGGGCAACGGTAGTGGCACATTCCGAAAGGGTTCCCCCGGCAACCGCCACACGGGAAGAAGCGGGCACTAGCGGCAACAAGGTCCCGAAACAATCTTCTTCGTCACGTGCTCATCGTAACTCTCAACCTGTGTCGTCGGGAAACGCCGCCAAGGAAGGAGGACACCAGAGCGACGTCTCAGCCAGTCTCACCAGCGGAGGAGGCGAGTCCAGTGACACGGGCTCCGTTCCAGGGAGCTCGGAGTCGCTCCAATCCTCCCTGACAGAGATAACCTCTGAGAACCCGTTTCCCGAGGCTCTTCAACAGCCGCAACCTGCTTCGTCGCAGCAGCCTCCTCCGCAAGTGGTGGAGCAGAACGGACTCCCCTCTGCACCAGTGTCCCTGTTCCACGACCCTCTGATATTCTACGGGTCCAGTACCAACGCTGCACTGCAGAGCAGTGACAGCACCGCCCCGCCGTTTGACGTGAGCGACAGCGACGACTGTACACTCGATTTCTTCCCGGCGCTCAGACAGAACGCAGGCGGTACGGGGGACGTGGGAAAGCAGAACCCTAATCCCGGTCTCCTCTCACCTGCGAGTGGTAACGAGCCCGCTGTCAACGCAGACGTTGATTTGTCCGGCGTGCAAGACACCGTCGACGATCAGAACTCCGGGACCACGTCGTCCGAGGCTCAAACCGAGTCCGAGGAGAACGCAGCAGGACCTGAAACGAACAGGAAGACACCGGATGCTCTGACTCAGCAAACACTGAAGGACGAAGAGCTACTGCATGCGGAGCACAACAGGTACCGATCAAGCAATAGCAGCGCTCGCCCGGAGAACTGGCCTGACGTCCAAGAACAGCCCTCTACCATCAAGAAGGACTCGTCTACGATTGACGGCCAGGTGGTAGTTGATTCTGACAATCACCAGGGGCACGGGGAATCTCCCCCCTACAGTAGTCTCGATTCGTCTTCGGGATTTGTTGTCGACGGAGCGGAGGAGAACCTCGCGAAAGAGGGAGGTGGAGCGAAAAGCAACGACATTGCCGCCGTAACGGACGATTCAACAGGTATCATCGGCAAGTCTACCACTGCCGTGAGTGAGACCACTGGTGCTCAGTCCGCCACTGACAAACCGCCAACAGAACAACAAAACTCCGAACCAACTTCCTCATCCTCATCTAGCGAAAACATCCCCACGGCGACATCCACGCCGGGGAACAGTCATCCGGGCTCAACACCTCAAACACCGTTGGACGCAGGTACTCTGCCTGCTATACCCCGCCGTGAAAGCCTCGACGTTAACGCCAAGGAGTTTACCCCAAGAACAGTTCTACTCCGCGCAGACTCCCGCTCCAGCGCCTACCCCAGCGGACTTAACCCCAACGCCATGGCAGTGTACCCTTACATCACAAACGGTGGGCTTCCCGTTCTACCCACCCTCCCCGTTCTTACTACGGTGCCTCCGATGATGGTTAACCCTCTGCCCACTGTGACTGGAGTGATGAGCGGGGGGCCATTGTCGTCGGCAACCAGGAGGAAGATGAAGGGTCCGGCACAGCCGATGGCTGATCCTTCTTCCACCGGCAACACCATCCCTTATGTGAGTCTATAATAGCTCGAACATAATCTTCTTAGCTAGAACAGTAATCTTCTTTTTCTTTTACCTACCAGACACCATTTATGATGATAAGGACTTAACCTGTTTTGTCTTGATTAGAGGGGTTCCACTCTCCTTTGCAGTATATTAATGCTGCGGGAAACACTGCTTTGTATTCCGCAACAAATCTTATAATCCGGCAATGCATATCCCTTTGACCTGTGTATAATGTCGTATAATGTAACGTACTGTGTGTTACTCTCTGCAGCCAACGTCAGAGATCTCGAGCTCCCCGACCTCCTCCCTCTCCCCTCCTCACTCCCCCACACGCCCTCACAAGTGCTTCCTCTGCTACCTCTCGTTCCCCGACCCCCAGTCGCTACGGCGACACTGCAAGACCGCGGCACACATCAGCACACTCCTGCGGGACTGCGGGGCGAGCACTATTTGGAAGAACCTACCCCCACCACCAGGTCAACCCAGAGAACTCATGAAACTCTGCGTCAAGTGAGTTTTCATTGACTATGTAAGTAGGGCTAGGGCCTCGATACTTAAGTGTATTGACTAAGTAGGGCTAGGGCCTAGGGTCTCGATATCAAACAGTTTGATTGCTGTAGCTAAAAAATGCCACGTATGTACACACTATGTATATATACATACAGAGATACTGTATACATACATGTGTACATATTGTGTACTTATTGAGCTTGGACACATACAAATTAAGTACGGCTTTATGGAATACCCAATAGCCTACATGGGTGATGTGGGAAACATGTAGGTTTGCAAATTTCGCAGTTTGAGAAACAGTTTTCTATCGAGTAGTTGAATAACTATGTTCCACCATGAATTACATTACACTGTACACGTGTCTTCTTCCTTGTCTCCAGTGGCTACAGCTGCACGCTGAGTCGTCTCGAGTGCATCCAGCCACACTTTGCCGACGAGTTTGCCGAGCAGCTGCGTCGAGTCGAGCACCACAACAAGAGGGAGGCCACCCGGAAGCCCCTGCCTCTCTTCTCTGATCAGCAGGACGACCTCCTCATATCTCCCATCGAGGCTGAGGTCCATATCCTGTACACACACGTACTGTAACACCTGCATTAGGCTCACAATTATGTCGCACTTTGCCCTGTCGCGCTGCGAAGATTTCTATTCTCGCGATGCTGCACGGCGCGACAGGGCAAAGCGACAAATTGCGAACCTAGCCATAATAACAACACATGGCATCTGTAAGCCATTGTCTAACCCCCAACGTGTGTGTTAGGAACTTTGTCAAAGTCTTTAATACGCTACATACACGTCAGTTATTGCATGAACACTACCGTATATATATAATCCTTATACTTTCTAATAGCGTTAAGTTGAACCCCATCGCATCCTCTCCTGAAACTATATTTTTCATTATGGAAAGTGCCACTATACCAAGTGTACCAAATATACGTACATCCTTATATACACATACAGTACCTGCCATTGTACAAAGATGGAGTGAATACTCCAATATTACCTACCATGATTGCTCTGTACATTGTGCTATATATATACTACATACAGTCTACCATTTCAATGCATCTCTCCATATTAGAGAGTGACGCAGTACACCACCCTGAGAGTATCGGTGAAGGAACCGCTGAAGGCAATCCTGACAGACGCGTCCGCTTCCTTCACCTGGACCATCTCTGTTCAGGGACAGGTACTGTACGACTGCATGTGCACACATGTACTGTTCAGGGACGGGTACTGTACGACTGCATGTGCACACATGTACTGTTCAGGGACGGGTACTGTACGACTGCATGTGCACACATGTACTGTTCAGGGACGGGTACTGTACGACTGCATGTGCACACATGTACTGTTCAGGGACGGGTACTGTACGACTGCATGTGCACACATGTACTGTTCAGGGACGGGTACTGTACGACTGCATGTGCACACATGTACTGTTCAGGGACGGGTACTGTACGACTGCATGTGCACACATGTACTGTTCAGGGACGGGTACTGTACGACTGCATGTGCACACATGTACTGTTCAGGGACAGGTACTGTACGACTGCATGTGCACACATGTACTGTTCAGAGACGGGTACTGTACGACTGCATGTGCACACATGTACTGTTCAGGGACAGGTACTGTACGACCGCATGTGCACACATGTACTGTTCAGGGACAGGTACTGTACGACTGCATGTGTACACATACACACATGTACTGTTCAGGGACAGGTACTGTACGACTGCATGTGCACACATACACACATGTACTGTTCAGGGACGGGTACTGTACGACTGCATGTGCACACATGTACTGTTCAGGGACGGGTACTGTACGACTGCATGTGCACACATGTACTGTTCAGGGACGGGTACTGTACGACTGCATGTGTACACATACACACATGTACTGTTCAGGGACGGGTACTGTACGACTGCATGTGCACACATGTACTGTTCAGGGACGGGTACTGTACGACTGCATGTGCACACATGTACTGTTCAGGGACGGGTACTGTACGACTGCATGTGCACACATGTACTGTTCAGGGACGGGTACTGTACGACTGCATGTGCACACATGTACTGTTCAGGGACGGGTACTGTACGACTGCATGTGCACACATGTACTGTTCAGGGACGGGTACTGTACGACTGCATGTGCACACATGTACTGTTCAGGGACGGGTACTGTACGACTGCATGTGCACACATGTACTGTTCAGGGACAGGTACTGTACGACTGCATGTGCACACATGTACTGTTCAGGGACAGGTACTGTACGACCGCATGTGCACACATGTACTGTTCAGGGACAGGTACTGTACGACTGCATGTGCACAACATGTACTGTTCAGGGACGGGTACTGTACGACTGCATGTGCACACATGTACTGTTCAGGGACGGGTACTGTACGACTGCATGTGCACACATGTACTGTTCAGGGACGGGTACTGTACGACTGCATGTGCACACATGTACTGTTCAGGGACGGGTACTGTACGACTGCATGTGCACACATGTACTGTTCAGGGACGGGTACTGTACGACTGCATGTGCACACATGTACTGTTCAGGGACGGGTACTGTACGACTGCATGTGCACACATGTACTGTTCAGGGACGGGTACTGTACGACTGCATGTGCACACATGTACTGTTCAGGGACAGGTACTGTACGACTGCATGTGCACACATGTACTGTTCAGGGACAGGTACTGTACGACCGCATGTGCACACATGTACTGTTCAGGGACAGGTACTGTACGACTGCATGTGTACAATTACACACATGTACTGTTCAGGGACGGGTACTGTACGACTGCATGTGTACACATGTACTGTTCAGGGACGGGTACTGTACGACTGCATGTGCACACATGTACTGTTCAGGGACGGGTACTGTACGACTGCATGTGCACACATGTACTGTTCAGGGACGGGTACTGTACGACTGCATGTGCACACATGTACTGTTCAGGGACGGGTACTGTACAACTGCATGTGCACACATGTACTGTTCAGGGACGGGTACTGTACGACTGCATGTGCACACATACACACATGTACTGTTGGACAGAGCGAGTCAATGAGATGTGTGTATACTGTATATACCTGCATCATGGTTTTCTAATGTGCTCTCTGTCATGGTTGGGAGGTGACAAATCCTCTGCACACAAAACCTGTTGCACTGTATTATCGCTCATCTGACCTTACACTTCAACGACTGAACCTGCATGTTACTATTAAGTACTCTCTATTTCCATTTGTCTAATTCCTCACACGTGTACAAGTGCTGCGCTCCTGGTAGCCTTTATAAACTCGTGATGCCAGAGAGAGAAGTTGCAGTATGCTCTGCTGATGAGGGCCAACAAGCCCCCGAAACAGCTGTCCTGAGCTCCCATCTTTTTTCTCTTGGCATCACAGTCATGGTATTTTCTACATGTACATAATACTACTGTTCATCCCATTCTGGAACTGTTATGCAATATTACGTAACAGTGCCCCGTGTACTGCATCTCATTCTCTGTGTGTCCAGCACTGGCAGACACTGTTTGGAATCCATCTCAAGAGTCAGAACCCCGTGTTCCAGATCACAGACCTGGAGGATGCCAACGCTCTGGTCGAAGGGAAATGCCAGGTACGACCCACTATTCATGTCTCCTGGGAGCTACTGAGTACGGTAGCATGTGACATAAACGAGGTAGAAAGGCAAAGAAAAAAGCAAAGAAGGCCAGGTGTGACCCACTTTTCATGTCCCCCGGGAGCTACCATATTTATACTGTAGCATGTACTGTAAACGAGGTATAAAACAAGTCAACTACGCCCAAGAAAGAGCTCTTTTGCAAGGAAAAAAGAAGAGCTGTCCTGGGTGGGATTCGAAACCACGGCCCTCTGCTTGCTTGTTCCGTCTGCCGCACCTTCTTCTTCCTCCTCCTCCTCCTCCTCCTCCTCCTCCTCCTCTCTCCTCTCTCCTTTCTTCCCTTCCTCCTTTGTTTTCATCCTAAACAATCGTTCTCTCCCTCCCTCATTCGCTTCTCGTTCCTCTCTCTTGCCCCCAATCATTATAATTGTTAATTTCTCTACAGAGTGACAGAGCAAACTGGGTGGCGAGTACTGCTGCTGATGCCATCTTGTTAGGTAACCATTCTTATAACGAGTTTAACACATTTTTAGCGAGCGAGCGCAAGTGTAAAATTTCGTAATCTATAGCATTATGCAGCATACACATAAATCTTGCATTAGGATAACTATAGGCAAGATCGCTTCACTAGGTTAAAACCCTTTGGACACCATGCTATCTGCTTAAATAAGCTGAAATTGATGTATAAAGTATTAGCGCCTAGTATTATGACTCCATATAAATTCTTATGGACTTATGGAGGCTCTGAACACATTTGTGTCAGTGGCTGGATAAGTGTTAAGCTGCGGTATAATATAACCAAGTACAGTAGTACATATATACACAGGTTATCTTGCATTGTGCCCATACATTTGAGATTTTTACATTTCACTTTTCATGTTCAAGTTCTGGTTGTATTGTACTAATGCAGGTCGGCTGTGTTTCTCAGTGCGGGCCAGTCCAGAGAACGTGAACGGCAATTTCAACTGCAGAGTGTGTCTCAACCTCGGCTTCTACCAGCATGCCTACATCAGTCTGGCCCTCGTAGTTAATGGTGTGTTCTGGAACTTTAGCTAGGCTTACTGGTTATATACTAGCGCTCTCTAGGGCGCAGAGTACTCAAACCACATTATTTCTGAAAATAAAGAGTACAAACTACGTTATTTGTGAGATATAGTAGTACAAAAACAATAGCATTTTTGCTGAAAATGTGTGTATATACATGTACTATATATATATATACATGTTCATCAGTTGCAAGATCATAAAAGTGGCCCACTTCTGCGTGCTATACTCCTAAGAAGACGTGGTATAATAATATACATTCTCTATCCCTCCTTTCTCACAACAGACCCTAAACTGACTAGGAAGACAGGCCCGGCCCTGCCCCCACCACCTCTGAGCGAGTTCCCGCCAATCTCAGACACCAGACCACGGGTGCAGTCGGCCCCCCACAACAAGAGGGCCCCCGAAACTCCGCCCACTGCCAGTAGCAGTACTGCCACCACCCGGCCTCAGAGTGCCTCGTCTCTACCAGGTCAGCGCCGAGTTTGTCCACGAGCAAAGATTGCTTGCATTTCTAGGTTTCATTCGCGACCAACAATGTGTTCCTGATGCAATTTTATATTACCTACGCTCCCTCATATTATATGTGACCCACTCTGGGAATAGGTATATACCAAATATAGATTTTCAGCTATGCACGTATGTAGCAAACTCGAGTGAAAACTATGACCTATGTAGCATGGAAGGGTGTGCACTGCATATAGCACTCGAACGGAAGCAGCCACGAAGGTACGGTTTTCTTCGTATGCAGCGTGCGTTGCGCATTCCAATGATACGTGTAACGCAATTTTGGAGTTTTGCGCCAAGTGGTAGCCTTCTCCCAGAGCGGGTCACATAATGCTACGTGTGTTACTCCAGATGAGCGAGAGGCGGCGACAGCCTCAGTGGCTGATTCAGAGACGTCCCAGAAGATGGCGGGGAGAGAAGTCACCACGAACCACCACGTCCAGCCGGGTTCCTCGGAGAGAGCCCAGTCCAGTAATGGCGGCGTCGTAAACGTGTGGAAAAGAGGGAGCGAGGGCGGGGGAGGGAAGAGACGAGATGATAAAGAAGTTGGAAAGACTAATGGTCAGGGACCCGAGGCCTCAACACAGGTATATCACCAAGTACGGTAGTACTTGGATGACTGTCATCCTGCATTATGCCCATACATTTGAGATGAATTCTCCCTCTACCAGCCACCAGCCTTTCTTGTATATACACCTACAGGACTCGAGACAGCCAGACCAGATTGTCAACTCTCACTGTGATCACATGACTTCCCATGATGTCATCACCTCAAATGATGTCATCACCTCAATACACTCTAGCTCACATGTAAGTTACAGCTTTTCCAATATTATAAGCGCCCATTGCTCTGGGTGCGTGGTCTATGGCCCTAGTGCTATGGCAGCCACCTGAGCATAAGCACCTTGTGAATGTGTCGAAGAAGTAAGAATGAGCCGTTTTCAACACTGCTATCTTGTTATCTTGCCCACAGATTTGATGATTTCCTACCACTTCTAGTCTATTATGTAACCAAATGTGCACACTCGCGGACACGCTGCTACTACTTTCCTTCATGAAATAGACACCTTCCATCTAGTAGTTCACAGTCATACTGCCGTACTTCGTGTATTATATATACACTACACCCCGCCCCCTTGCGCAGTGTATATATCATAACACAACCCAAACACACTGTGTATATACAATGTTATATGTACTCCTACCGAAGAGTTGGTTTTGTTGTTGTATCATAACTATTTATGATGATGATAATATGATTGCTCTATAATATATACTGTCCCTCGTGATGTAGCTGCTAGGATTTGTAAGTCGTGCCCTGTCCAAAGAAGAAAAATTAAAGTTTGATTCTCTATAACGTTTGCCAATTCCCCACCCGTCATGCAAACATACTGTTGTAGATTCCACAGCTACATGTCACTGCTGCATGTACTTCACAATGGTGGCGCGCGCGGTGTGGGGTAGATATTATGCGCATGCGCTGAACGGTTTGCCCGCGACACGCACGTTACACGTATAGATACAGATCATGCTCGACCGTGGCATGTGCACAATGTTGTTTACTGCACCGTAGGCGCGCGAGCAAGTGTTCTTCGTTCTCGCAAGGGTGATCAAAAAGGTTATCGAATACAGCATCTGCGATCGATCGTCGCGCGCATCTTTAAAATTCTTACGCATGCGCACACGGTAATACTGTTGGGCGGGGTCTAGCTGGCGCATGCCATGGCCAGCGGGAGAGGGACGACGAAGTACAAAGCCCTCCTAGTCAACTCTGACACTTTATCAGACGTCCTCGACGATGATGCGGTAGCAAAGACAAAGCTCCTGCGGAAGATGAGGGCTAACGAGTGGATCGAGCCGACTGCAGACTTGTCAACAGACGATCTGGTAGCACTGGCACTGAATAAGGTTGAAACCGAGGGAGGGAAGGTTTTCGATCAGTTTGTAGAGTTTCTGAGGAACATCACAGGGCTTTCTCACATTGCTGGAAAGATGAAAGGTATAATATAGCTACTACGTATATAACTGTGCGTGATCTCTAGCTACAGTTGTGCTTTTTATCTGAAAGATGAAAGGTATAATATAGCTACTACATACTATTTACAACTGTGCCGTGATCTCTAACTACACTAGCCACAGTTGGTGCTTGTTTATCTATATAGAGAACCAATGTACATGTTGAAACCTGTGTCTTCAAAGGATTTATATCGTTCTCTTTAGGTGCCTATTATTTAATTATTACAGCCCTGTATGTACCCTTCCAGAAATGGCAGGTCCCTCAAGCTCTCCACAGGCTGCAGCTCTTGTGGGTGCAGACTCATCGCAGACCACAGACCCACTCGGTACGCCCAGCATGCATACAAAATAAGGCTATATATGCACTATTAGCGGGCGAACGTGAGTGAAATATCATTTCATGCACATTATGGTATGGACAGTGTTGTCTTCATACTGTACCAAAGCTCTTAATAAAGGACACTCTGACATCGTGTGGAGGTTAATAAAATAAAAAAAGTGTACAATGAAGTATCAAAGCCTGTGTAAAAAA